TCGTCTCCATGGCCAAAATGGTAAAGTGGAGAGGGAAATAAAGAGAGAACAGAAAAAGCACTCTGAAGGATGCTGCGCTGTTCAAAGGGAGCAATTAACGTAGGGTGCACAGTGCAAAACCTTGCTCAGATGTAAGTCTCACGCTGTTTAATGGAGCTTTGTTTTGGGCATGGATGAGTGTCTTGGAATAGGGTTTGCATTTTCATGTGAGGTGGCCTAATTCTTCACTGTAACACACCCGTCCTTCGAAAATTGCGGTTCTCAGAATTTTGTGATGCTGTTCTCCAACCAAGAACAGTGTATAAAGATGCATACATTAGGGGGAAGACTGCAGAAAAATGCACGTGCTAATGAATAGAAAACATGAATTGGGGGAGATTGCTTGATTGAACAAATGGGCAAAATTGCTTGCAAAAATATGAATATTAGGATAAATGCGCAGTTTACCTTTCACAGAGCTACAATGCCCAGCAGCCTTAACCAGCTTCAATCCTAGGCTTCTTTCAAGGATGCCATGTGCTTGAAATGTTTGGTGTATATGTGACCAGGGCTGGTTTCTTAAAGTACAACCAATCCCTTTAAAAAATGACAGTCCATTTATTTATAATGGTCTATTCTGTGACCAATATTCAGAAACTTTGTATAAATATATAAAATAATACCAAACAAAACAAAGCAGATACCATCACAATAAACGGATTGGTAATTGTATTGCAGGGCATAGAGAGCAAAATTGTGAATTTGCTAAAATTATTCCCTGGTAATATTTACATGCTGCACCACAATATTTAGCAGCCCTGGAAGATGCTGACATATTCTAATTTGAAACGAGTAAGCAAACACAGAAAACATCCCATCGGCCTGGGAATCTCTGTAGATAAAAATGTTACATATATCACAACAAAAATAGAAATTTGTAAGTACAGTGGTACCTCGGGTTACATACGCTTCAGGTTACATACGCTTCAGGTTACAGACTCCGCTAACCCAGAAATAGTGCTTCAGGTTTGCTTTGCTTCAGGATGAGAACAGAAATCGTGCTCCGGTGGCGCGGCAGCAGCGGGAAACCCCATTAGCTAAAGTGGTGCTTCAGGTTAAGAACAGTTTCAGGTTAAGAATGGACCTCTGGAACGAATTAAGTACTTAACCCGAGGTACCACTGTACGTGAGTTAGCAATTCTGCCTCTCCAGACTGACAAAGACATTTATGTTGACAATAGGGGATTTTTTGGAAACTCCCCTCCAGAACTAATAATGGAAGAATATTTAAATACACTAGAGTAAACACAATAAATAAACAACCCAGACTTTTTGTGATTTGGAAAGTAATGAGGAAATGCACTGATGAGTGTGGAATGACCAAATGTTTCATGGGAAGATATGTAAACACGCCACAAGCAAACCCAAACGAATGAACATTGTCACAAAACTGCCCTGTAATCTGCTGAGCATTTGTTCTGACATAGTCTACTCACTGTGTAAGCTTTGTGCAAACAAATCAGGATGGGTCCCGAGTAAACAGGTCAGTGGTGGAACTGACTTGTTCCACCTCTAGAAACTGGAGGTGTCTGGAAACTGGAGAAGTTTCTTTAGCTGTTAGCTGGGCTGGCCTCTAAGTGCAATTCCGACTATTATATCAATGATGTGGCACCTAGGAATATGGATTATTTCTCCCAGCCCTGCCCACATCTGTCATGCAGGAAACTAAGCCTGTTTTGCTTTGTATTCTTGCATTCTGGCATGTTCTTGGACTCGGCCCCAGAACCTCTTTTCCATGGCAGGAGCCACCCTTAAACATGTGAAGTAAAGAACATTGTGTTTCTGAGCATACACAGAGTGTGACCCCCCCCCCCACTACTGAGTAACCAAGAGCTCCTGAATGGTTAAATATGAGGGGATTAAGGGATTCACGGAAGAGATTGGAACTCGCAGGCAGGCTTGGGCTGGGCCTCATTACGTCACCATTTAAATTCTTAACCGCAGCTGTTGACCTAATGCTCCCCTCTTAACCAACAAGATATCTGTAGAGAGAGAATGGTTTAGCAGTGGTGGAGTGTCAGTGGCCCTCCAGATGTGACTGGACTCCAACTCCCATCATTCCTGGTTATTGGCTCTGCTGGCTGGAGCCGATGTGAGTTGGAGTCCATGCAGTTCTGTTGCTTGAAGCTACAGCAGCAGCACAGATGGGACTTTTACTCTCTCTGGTGAGCCCCTGAGCAGTCCAGCAACCACATCACTCTGTACAGCTGGAAGATCAAGGGGCAAAGTATCCAGCTACTGATAACAGGAACTAAGGGCAGTGGGGCACTATGGGACACAGGAGGGTGCGGGGAGAACAGAGCAGAATCAGATCCAGTCAAAACACCGCAACTTTAGGGTTCGTTAGGTCAGGCCTGGTTGTACAGGACAGTCTGCAACAGGGCTGGGAGGACTTGAGGGATAGGAATAATAGAATTGTAGAGTTGGAAGAAACCTGTGGATCTAGTCCAACCCCCTGAAATACAGGAATATGCAGCTAGCCTGTATAAAGATTGAACCCACAACCTTGCCATTATCAGCACCACATTCTAACCAGCTGGGTAACTGGATATTACTTTGTTGTTTTGTTGTTGGTTTTTTGTTTGTTTTACTAGTGCCGAGAATGGGTTTATTTTATCCAGTTTTTGTTCTATTGCCATCTTGTGCTTCCCTCCAACACCTTGGTCCTTGGAATCACTTTAGATCAAAGCCGTGGAAAGCTAGTTGTGCTGCTTTTGAGGAGCTCATCCTGCTGAGAGGGGCCCAGGATCTCTGCCCCAATGACCTGCCCAAACTGTTTAGGTTCCCTGAGAGAGAGAGAGAGAGAACTCTAAACACGACGCAGTGAAAAAGTCAGAAGGGCTCCCTCTGTGCCCCACCCCTTAAACACTTCAAACACAACTAGCAGCAAGCAATACGTTCCACATTCTATCCACAACTTCTGGAAAACCCCAAGGCTGCAAGGAAACCCAAGCTGGAAAACCCCAAACAACACAAAAGCATTTTAAAATGAAACAGTCAAGCCAGGGTCAAGTTGTGATCTGGCAGCTTTCCACCCCAACAGTTCCTTTCAAGAGCCCCAAACACAGAGATGCTATAGCTGCTACATCCCCTCCTCTGCTTGTTCCTCCCTCTGGTCCCCTTAACCCAGGCTTCCTCAACCTCGGCCCTCCAGATGTTTTGAGACTACAATTCCCATCAACCCTGACCACTGGTCCTGCGAGCCAGGGATCATGGGAGTTGTAGGCCGAAAACACCTGGAGGGCCGAGGTTGAGGAAGCCTGCCTTAACCCACCCACCCACTTCCCCTGCATACTAGGACCACAGCAAGGTGTTTGATCCAGACATTGGTGCTTGTTTGTTTTTTGTAGATTTTCTGTTTCTGGATGCTCCCAAGTCAATATTTGAGAAACGAAAGGAACAATATTCATGCAAAACTCAGTCCCGGATGAGGAAGCAAAGAATGCACATTCCCAGAACCATGTCTCCACTCGTATTTGTAGACAATCACCTGCCCCCATAGCACTTTCATCTTTAAAATGCTAAATAAATAAATAAATAAATAAAAAATCAATCAACAGAAGATCCAAGAAATGCCCTGCAAAGTGTGGTTTGGGCCTTTCAGACAAGCTAACTGTTATTGTTAACAGTTGCTGGCAAGTCACCCCAGTGAGCAAACAGTACTATCTAGTGGTTAGAACTTGCAACTACAAGCCAGCACAAGTCTCTGAGCTTGTAATGGCCAAAGATTATTATTTCAGCCCCTTCAGTATGAACAAGGGTGCATCAAAAAAAGAGAGAGGTCTCTTCTTCTAAGGAGCTTACAGTTACAACAGAGATGGCCACCAACTTGGGACAGCTTTAAGAGGGTTGAATAAATTCATGGAGGACTATGAATGCCCACTAGCGATGATAGCTATTGCTGTGCCAGTTGGAGGCAATAATGCTTTTGAACACCACTTGCTGGGAACCACAGGAGGGGAGAGGTCTCTTGTGTCTGCAGGTTTCCCAGAGGCATCTGGTTGGCCAGTGTGAGAAGATGCTGGACTAGGTGAGCTGCCGGCCTGATTTAAATTATTGGACAATGATTCCCATCCCTCTCCGCCAACATGGCCAATGGTCAGGGATGATGGGAGTTGTAGGCCACATCCACTGGAAGAAGCAAAGATCACCAGTGTCGAAGCAATGATTCTTCAACATCAACTTTGTTGGACTGGTCATGTTGTTTGGATGCCCGATTATCGTCTTCCAAAGAAACTACTGTACTCTATTTTGAACTTTAAAATGGAAAGCGCATTGCTGGTGGTTAACAAAAGAGGTTCAAAGATGCTCAAACTCAGGACGAAAGGGAGAAATGCACTAAGAGGTAGGCTCGCTTGGCAAACCCTCACCGTGGTCAACTCCCGCCCGGAAACCAATGTCCCCATTGTGGAAGGATGTGTGGATTCTGAATTGGCCTCCACAGGCACTTACGGACTCACTGTTAAAACCGTGTTCATGGAAGACAATCTTACTTGGCTACGAGTGATCGCCAAAGAAGTAGTAGTAGTTAAATTGTGTAGTGTAGTGGTTAGTGTGCAGGATTAAGGACTCTTGAGATCAGGGCTCAAATCCCTACTTCAGTACATGATTGCCAATGGGGTGATCTTGGGCCAGTCACTGTCTATCAGGCGAACAGAGTTTTTGTGAGTATAAAATGAAAAGCGGGGCAGGAAGTGCTTATGCCACCATGAGGTTTTTGGAGGAAAGGTGAGATAGAAATGTGATGATAATAATAAATTAAAGCACACTGATTCCACCAAATGCTTCTGGGAAGTGTAGCTTAACTGTCCCAGAACTACAATTCCCAGCACCATTTGCAAACTACAACTCCCAGGTTTCCCGTGTGTTTTAAATGCATGGCGTGGATGTGACCACTGGCTAACACCATCCGCAAGGACAAGATTTCCCATTGCTGCTCCAGAAAAATCAGCCCCATCCTATTCAGAAGTGAAGCCGACTAACAACAAATGCATTTTATTTTTTTCTCAGCAACAAGAGTTTCTCAGGCACAAAACCCGAGTTTTCAGAACATTCACAGTGCAAGGGACTCTGTCTTCTGGCAAGGAATTTCGAGGCCCAGCAGAAATCTTGACACAGTGCATACTTGGAAAACAAAAACATCACGTGAGTCCTGGTTGAGCTGGGAATGTCCAGCCAGTGCAAATCAACAAAGAAAAGTGGGCCACTGAGGTCATGGAGCTGGAATTAAGAGGTTGATGATCACAATAGGCAGGATGATCAGGAACCAAACCAAGTTAGGGTGTATCTGAAGACACACACATCTTTCCAAATAAATCACCGTCATCTTCCTTCAGAGTGTAATAAGGAGATTGTTTGTATGCCATGAAACCATCCCATTGCTGCAAGGGATGCCTTAGGTCATCTTTGGGAAGTCAGAAGGTGCATCTAGGCAGCTACATCTTGGACCCCACACTTGAGGTTAGCAGGAACCGCGAAATCTGCAGGAGATGAGGGGTAACAGAAAGATTATTTCCCCTGAGTTCCTATAGGAATCACCCTCCCTCTGTGCCTGGGCACAGAACCCAAGACGTCATGGCTGTCCCCCGCCTCAGACCAGCCACCAAGCACGCCGGGAGCCCAGCCTAATTCTGGTTTACTCTGAAGCATGTCCTGCAGAGAGCAACATAACTTGCTCTCAAGTTAAAGTGCCAAAGGAATTGAGCCAGACAGAACTTACGGGCCTTCAGATTCTGAGGGTCTCCAACACCCATCACACCCAACAGTCAGGGATGATGTGAGTTGCAACTTAGCCAGTGTGGTACAGTGGTTAGAATGCCAGACAAAGACAAGGGAGACCAGGGTTCAACTCCCCACTTTTCCAGGAAGATCGCCAGGTGACCTTGGGGGCCAGTCGCAGCCTCTCAGCCTAGCCTATGTCACAGGGTTGTTGTGTGGATTAATTGAGGAGGGGGAGAACCACGTATACCCCTTTGAGGAAAAAGGTGTGATATAAATGCAAACAAACGCACATCTGGAGGGACACCATACTCAATCCTATATATACTCTGTTTCCTCATACGTAAGTCCCACTGTGTTCTATGAGACTTACACCCTAGGAAGTGTTTGGGGGGATTGTGCTTTAAGATGTCTAACACAAGAAAAGCCAATCCCTTGGATATTCCTTAAGGGAAGTGCTGTGGCTCAGATTCCATCTTTGGCATCTCTAGGCAAGGCTGAGAGTGTTACTCCTGCCTTAAATCCCGAAAAGCTGCAGTTGGCCAGTGTAGACGATGCTCAGCTAGGTGGAACAACCATCTGGCTCAAGATAGGGCAAGCTACCTACATTTCTTGGCCCAGCAAGCGGAGGAGGCTAGGAAAACGAGATAATTTTCTGCACCGTTTCCAAACCACAGTCCCCAGGATCCTTCTGAGGAAGACACAATAGTGGAGCAGATACTGGCTTGCAGCTGAGAGAAGGCAGCCTCCAGATAAATGCTGCTGTGCTGTACCAGAAACCAGCCTCACCTATTTGTTTTGGCTTGGGCAGATTCAGGTTGTTCATCAGTTCAACGAAGGCCTCTCGGGGCAAGGTGAGGCGAGGATTCAGGGTCTTTTCTTCCTCTACTGTGGACACTGTCTGGCCTGCAAGGGAGGAGGAGATGCATCAAGGGGGGCCAGGACAGAAAAAAGAGTCTTGCGGCACCCAAAAGGCTCACATAGATTTATCAAGGCAAAGTTATTTGGGCCTACCAATGTGGGAATTATCTTCCTCAGTTGGCAGGCGGACATTTGTTCAAATGCCTGAACAGAGCTACTGCCTCTCACATTTCATGACCCCTCGACTCCACTTTTACAAATGTTTCCTTCTACACCTATGTTTATGTGTCCCTGTAAGTATACTGTGACTTTCCCCCTCAACCCCCCCAATGATTTCCTGCATCATAAAGGGATAAACTTTATGGTGCCTGCAGCAAAAGGAAAGACAAACCACAATCTCGATTTATGACAGCCAATAAGAAGTGATGTGCATTGTACAATGTACAAAACATTGTACAAGTAATTTGCAAGCTCTATTTTTCCTGTATTATAATAAATGCTATGCATATTACAGGACACATTATAGTTACATATGCAAAAAATTGACATTTATTTCGGGAAGACCTGTTTTCAAAAGATTTGGAAATGAAAGTTCATTCTTTTTGTTTTTAACCAAAGGTTCATCTAACTACACAACAGGAACATGAGGTTGTAAAAAAGTTGAAGCCCTAATGTGTATATTCATTCTCTCTCTCTCTCTCTCTCTCTGTGTGTGTGTGTGTGTGTGTGTGTGTGTCAGGTGTGCACACCCCGCCCCGATCTGAGAAACACCCAGATCAACCTGAGCCCAAATCAAGTCAGGGTGTGGGGTTAATGTTTAAATAGCGTTCTTTTAAAACCCCAATTAAGCATATAGTTAACCCTAAATAAGCATATGGCCCACCCTCACTTCCGACTGCACTGAAGAGAGGAGGGTTCAGTTCTGCTGAGTGCTGCTTCACTCTCATGTACAAAACACACTAGTGAAGCAGTCCTTAGTCTGGAGACGTTTATTTAAAGAAGCCTTCCTATGAGTTGATTCCAGCCATGCACACTGTGCACTGTAGAACAATCTGCCTTCCTTTCTATCTATATACTGCTCAGTTGCATACTAATGTTTTAAATCCTCGTACATCACTTTTTTGGGGATATGAAGTGGTTGATAAAATTTCATTCAATAAAACAACAACACTTTGTGCATCTGTTGAAGGGGGTTTCCAGTTTCTAGCACAGTAAATCTATCGGTCTCTAAGAGAACCACAAGGCACTGTGTTGATCGCAACAGAGATATTTAAGGATATTTAAGGAAAATGAGGAACTGAGCGAGGAACTGCATTGTCATCCAGTGTCCGTTGTACCACAATGCTGCCCGCCCCCCAGCAGCAAATCTGAGACCCCGACTTACCGGTATAGTCATGGGCAGGGTAGATTAGGCAGTGGCCAGGGAGTGTGAAGATTTTTTCGTGGACCGACTGATACAGGGTCTCTGGGTTGCCTTGGATGAGACAGAGAGTCTTACTGAGCTAAGTTTCCTTCAACATCAGCTATTTTTGCCAACCTGATTCTCTAGGACAGCTGCTTTAGACAAGGGTCTTCAACACATTCCTCCCATTTGTTCAGTGAACACATAGTTAGGCAGGGGGACGGAGAAGCACTATGCATATGGGCCCTGCCTCCAACAGTATGCCCTCTGGCCATGCCCCTGACACCTATGCGTTAAGCATTAGTGCAAAGAAAGCATCTATGGAGCATATACTGGGGCACCGGCTGCCCACCCTGTTTACCTATTTGCCCACTGACCTTTCCCCATTTCTGACCAACCACCTTTACACCCACCCCCTTGTCACCCATTTTTAACAGTGGGAGGGGGGCCTTTAGAGGAGCTGACTAAAACACTCTGTGAAGCACCTCCCCCTCTGTTAAATGTCTGCCATCAGTGCTGCTTCCTCACTCTCCTGCCTGCTGTTTGTCATGCAGTTGGTGTGGCTACCTGAACTGCACAGCGTGACGGCAGCATTAGATTTTTATGTATATAGGAAGAAATGTGTAGTATATAGGAAGAAATGTGTAAAGCTCTTTCATGCATCCGGAACCCTGGGCAATCTGCATTTCTGGATGCATGGAAGTTGCATAAAAGCCCATTTCACATTAATGGGATGTGTGTGGACATTAGGGGGTGACCAGTGAGGTCCACTCCGGGCATTAAGTGTTCATTCGAAGTGGGGAGGAAGAAAACACATATACCCCTTACAGGGTTGTTTTTTTGCAGAGGTGGCTGCACATTTCTACACAACAGCTTGTTGTCAATCTTATCCACAACACCCACATGGTGTTGTCTTCATTGAAACACCATCCCATATTTTCCCCCTTCAAAGAGACTTGCTCCGGAGAGCTACAATAAACAGAGTGGTCTAACAATCAATCCCTCTTCCTCAGGGACTCTGGGAATTGTAGCTCTGTGTGAGAGAAGCAAAGGGCTCCCAAAAACTCTCAGCACCTTTAACGAACTACTGCTCCCAGAATTCTATGGGGAAAACCATGACTGTTTAAAGTGGTACCATGGTACTTCAAATGTATGGTCTGAATGTGGCCAGGGAGAAATACAGTGCTATTGTAGGTAGACACATTCAGATTAAGGCAAAAAAAAATGGGTATCATTTGTCAAATGGAACACGACAGCCCATGTCTCCCCATAAATCTTGAAGCTACCCTCTAATACTGATGGTAGCCATTAAGACTGACCCAGATCTCATAGCTCCCTCCCCCTTGCAACAGATCAGAGTTCACTCTGGTATGACCACCCTCCCTGGTTATAACTGGATCCACAAGGCCTCTGTACCTTGCTGGAAGTCTGTCCGTCCACAGCCCCGGATCAGCAAGGCATCGCCAGTGAAAGCCATGCCTTTGTCATTCAGCACATACGTCAGGCATCCGTCTGTGTGCCCAGGGGTGGAACGAGCTTCCAGGGCCTGCAACAACAGCAGGGTGACATGCCATGAGACTCAAGCCTTGGAATTGCCAGTGTGATATAGCGCTTAGAGTGGGAGACCAGGGTTCAAATCCCCACTCAGCTGTGAAACTCGCTGAGCGGCTTTGAGCCAGCTGCAGTCTCTCAGCCTAACCAACATCGCAGGGTTGTTGTGGGGGTTAAATGAGGAGGGGGAGAGCCGTGTGTACACCACCTTGAGCTCCCTGGAGGAAAAGGTGGGGTGTAAAATCAATCAAACAAACAAACTCACAAAATCCCCAAATTTGAGGGTGTGCCCTTCCTGGATTAAGAGGTCAGCAGAGGCGCCACTATGTTTGGAGATGACACTCCGGCAGCCTGGGAGAAGCTTCTTCAGCAATCCGGTGCCTGTGATGTGGTCTGCATGGCAGTGAGTGTTGACTGAGAAAGAGGAAGAGAAGCTTGGGGTTAATATTGCAAGACACAAAAATCAAAGCATTTAACAAAGAAGTGGGGAGCCTGTGCCCCGCCTCAGATGTCATTGGGACTCCAACTCCCCGTTGGTCTCAGCCAACATTGCCAACATTGAGGGATGATGGGATTGGTCCTCTAAATGTTTCTGGAGAACCACAGATCTAACGCCACAGTCAGGCCAGGCCGTTTTGCCACCTCAGGTGCCAAAATGCCTTGGGCCAGTGTGGGTTACCATCTCCTTCCTGATTCAAAGGTACGATTCTATTATTCTACTCTTCCGCTACCTAGTGGTAGAAAGTGGAATATGCCATTTCTTTTCTGTTCCATTTTAACCTAGCAATACCCATGAAGGCCAGGTTTTACTAACCTGCTCTTGGGAGCTGGAAAAAAAAATCCACTTTTATTTTTGCAATTTCATTATATGTACAGTCGTACCTCAGAAGTCGAACGGAATCCGTTGCGGAAGTCTGTTTGACTTCCGAAAGTTTGGAAACCGAAACGCGGCTTCTGATTGGCTGTAGGAAGCTCCTGCAGCCAATCGGAAGCCGCGGAAGCCCCACAGGACGTTCGGCTTCCAAAAGAACGTTCAAAAACCGGAACACTCACTTCCGGTTTTCGTTTGTTTAACAACAAGCTGGAACGTTCGACTCCCAAGGCGATTGGGAGCCGAGGTTTGACTGTATTAAAAATTAGTTTTTATTAAAGATGTTATTGCCTTAAAAAACAAATAAACAAGTATAAGTACATATAGCATCTCTATATTCATTTTCACACTTTTCACACTTTTCCACACTTCATTTACATTCCATACAAGACCCTATTGTCATAGATGTTGTACGGTTGAGGGGGGAAAGAAGGAAGGGAGAGAGGGAGGGACGGAGTGAGGAGGGAATAATAAGGTTTTGTTCTACTTCAAAAAAAGGGGAAAAAATCAAAGTGATTTACAGCAATGCACACACACATGCAATAAAAACCAAGTAAAAAATTAAAACCACAGATCATTCGCTAACCATTACAGGGGATGCTTTCTTAATTGTCTGCATAAGCCTGGCAGCATAGCTGAGTTTTCATCAAACATTTAAAGGTGGAAAAAGAGGATGCCGTGCTGAATCTCTCTCGGAAGAGCATCCCATGGCACTGGGCCAAGGCATGTTTTCACACTGATGTCAAATGAGTGTGACCATCATGGAGGGTGACCAGCAATGCTCCTACAGGTGATCTGAGTGATGAGGCTGAGCCGTAAGGGTTCAGGGCAGCGGCGTAGCGTGGGTTGTCAGCACCCGGGGCAAGTAATTTGCGCCCCCTAACCCGGGGCAAGGCAAGTAATTTGTGCCCCCTAACCTGCCGCCGCTGCCAGCTTCTTCTTGCTGCTGCCTGGGCTGGGGTATTTACGGTAAGGTAGCCACGGTGGCGGCAGCGGGTCCGTGTCAGGTGATCTGAGGCGAGTTGCCACTGGCGCTGCCGCCCAAACGACGCCGCTTGCCCGGAGGAGGAGGAGGGCAGAGAGGCGAGGAAAATGCAACATGGCCCAGCAGCTGCAGCAGCAGCAGCGGCGGCGGCGGGGCTGTGAGGAGGGGCTGCCTGGCGCGCCCTCCGCGGCCCTGACGCGCGGGGACCGCGGCGAGCGCTGAGAGCCGCTGCCAGCTCGTCGGTTCCGCGAGACATGGGGCTCTGCTACAGCCTGCGCCCGAGGCTCTTCGGCGACTCCGGAGGCGGCGAGCGCGCCCCCCCCGATGTTGCGCCCGGTGCGGCCGGCCCCCCCTGCACCCCCCACGCTACGCCACTGGTTCAGGTGGTACCTAGATTAGCCAGGAACTAAGTTGCTCAGGGCTTTGTAAACAAATGCAAGGAATCTGAACCTGTCTGAGTGGGCTTCCTTGGGAGCATGTTACACTACCCCATCTGCCTTGATCTATCCAGGACCGAAGAAAAACCTCCTCTCACCTGCATATACCAAATTCAGACCAAGCTGCTTCACCAGGGTCGAATCCCTCTTGGCTGTCTCCAGAACTGGGTCTATCAGAACCGCCTCCTTGGTCTTCCAATCTGCCAGTAAGTAGGTATATGTGGAACTTTCTGATTCAAAGAGCTGGGGGGGGAAATGCCAGAGATATATCGGGTTAGTCCATGAAAGGTGATAGGTGGGACCCCTCTTCCCAAAGCAGCCCCCTCCAGTGGCCCTTGTGCTTAGGAAGAAAAGGACCCCTGCCCCTAATAACAGCAACAACCGGGGAATGGGTGCGCCGTCACATGGAGAGGAAGCTGGAGGCCGTAAGCCAAAGGCAACATGAAGTGCATCAGTGCATAGGGCAGAGTGCCTCCACTCCAAGCCTAGTGGTTAAAGCAGGAAGCGGGCTTCTAATCCCTTGCCCTGGGGAATCTCTTGATTTATATTCTTTCCAAATTAACGTCCACAAATATACTCCCACTACAGAAAAATATTTTACGTGCCTTTGTATATAAGGAGTTGGATCTTTTAGCATTGGTTCTTTTATGCTCTGGGTCTATTTTATTTTCTTTATTTCGCAACATTTATATATACAACTTGATTGTAAAACTAAACTAAACCGCAAAGCGGTTTACAAAAGGAAAAAAACAAACAATGAAATAAACCAGTTTAAAACAACTATTTAAAAGATTTGAAAAAAATATTTACAATCAATGATAAACTAAAATCCAGATTAAAACACCCACCAAGCGTTCTGGATAGCTTTGCCTAAGCAAGCATGTTTTTAGCAGGAGCTGTAAAGAATACAGTGAAGGCGCCTGCCTGGTGTCAGGGTAGTATTAGGGAGGTGCCTTCGTTGTACTGCTTTAAAAAGGTAAAGGGACCCCTGACCATTAGGTCCAGTCGTGACCGACTCTGGGGTTGCGGCGCTCATCTCGCTTTATTGGCCGAGGGAGCCGGCGTACAGCTTCCGGGTCATGTGGCCAGCATGACTAAGCTGCTTCTGGCGAACCAGAGCAGCGCACGAAAACGCCGTTTACCTTCCCGCTGGAGCGGTACCTATTTATCTACTTGCACTTTGATGTGCTTTCGAACTGCTAGGTTGGTAGGAGCAGAGACTGAGCAACGGGAGCTCACCCCGTCGCGGGGATTCGAACTGCCAACCTTCTGATCGGCAAGTCCTGGGCTCTGTGGTTTAACCCACAGCGCCACCCGCTTTAGGCACTAAAAACAAACAAACAAATCTTTTGTTTTGGCCAGCCTATCCAGACATGTGATTTTTATTCCATATACTTGCTTTAAAACAAAACACAAAAAAAATCTCTTCTGGTCATTCTGTAGTTTTAAGAAGTTACATACATACACCCATTTAAATTTTTCGACTGCGTCTGACTTTCTTATTAAATATTTGCACCATTTTATGTAAGCTGCTTAAAGATTCTTCCTTCTTTCTTAGATTAAATAGTCTATAAATTGTGTTAACCGACTAAATAAAAATACCCACATTACATTTGGTATTGTATTATTTAGGAAAGTTGCTTGCCTGCCCATTCTCTATGCATTGGGACACCTCATGATGTATTGCAGCCAAATTCTGCACGACGGCACCTGAGATGAGGGAGCTGGTTTTTGACTATGCTTGAATATGCCATTTTGAATCAAGATGTTGGACCGAAATTCTCAAAGGTGTGCTGCTTTCTTTGAGTTCTTACAATCCCAGAGATGCACTGGGTTTGAGGCTCTTCATATAAAATGAAGAAATGGCCATGTTCTTTTAAATGCGCCTAACTGCTCCCTGCTCCCACATCGCTCAGGTGTAACAGTTTTCCACTTTTGCCCAATTTGGCTACTCTCCAGATCTTAGCAAGGCTTTCTTCCAATGGCACAGCACTTTATATTCCTACCAGTGACTTCTCTATCGGTATTCTTGATGCAGGTCGTAAGTTCCAGACCTACTCACAGAAGAACTTGCTTCCTAACATTGCTTATATCCAAGCAGGCTGGACCCAGGGGTCAAGAAGGTGCCGTTAATCATCAAACCGATTACAGCCCCAAGAATCTAGCAGACACGCCAGTACTGTGTTCCATTTTGAACATGGTTTGCTTGTTTTATCATCCTGAAAGTTTTAAAAGTCTGCATAACTATAGATAAAGTTCAATCTGAAATTAAGATAAGATGTTGGTATCTCTGGTATCTTTTACAGCATGGATGCATGTTCTGTATTATTTTATTGGTATTAGTGTTACAAGGTGTCAGAGCTGCTTCCAGATCCTAGCTCACAGAGGATCACGCTAGCCAGCGATCATTAAACAAAAGTCTTTATTGAGTTACAGTTTCCATTCTCAAACTGCTGCGTGCAACTCTACGTCTCATGGTTAGACCGGCGAAGCTCCGTCTGAGTCTCCGCCCCTTGTACACCAACCTAATATCCTAGCCCTGCTCCACCTTTCCGCCTGACTGTTCTTCTCTGGGTCCCTCTGCCCCCTGGGGTCTCTTCTTTCCGGGATTCCTCTGACGCTGACGCTCCCCCTGACTCTTCTCCCTCCTTTCGGCGGGCTTTAGGACCTGGCTCCCTTTCCGGGCTGCCTACTGTGCCACCTTCCTGTGCATTTGAACTTGGCGCGCGCGCCCAACCTTCCACCTTCCGTCTGACCGTTTCTTCGCTCCCCGATGGAGGTGTGGCCACTCCTGACTCGTGCCCTCCCCCCTGTTGTGAGCTGCCAGCGCTTGATCCCTGGCTCCCTTCCTCTTCCCTGCTCTCTGGCGGTGACGCTGGTCCCGATTTCCAACTGCTCCCCTCTGAGTCCCCTCTGGCTCTATCTTCCTGGGGCGTCCCCTAGGCTCCCCCTTGCCCTGGCCACTGGTGCTCCTTTCTGTGAATCTTCTGATTCACTGGAAAGACTCGGAGATCTCGGGTCGTCGTCATCACTCATCTTTTCTTCTGCCTCCTCCCCCTCGCTCTCTGTTTCCTCCCTTGCCCTTGCCTCTGCTCCTGAACCCCTGACACAAGGCCTTCAGCTCGAACAATAAAATAATTGTGTATTATGTTGTTGTAAACCAACCTGGGACCTTATGAGGAAGAGCAGGTAAAAAAATAAAAAGGGGGGGGGGGAGAATCAGGGATTTGGAGTCCAGCTTTGCTGTTGTTTTAAAAATGTCAAGATGGTCAACAATACAAGTGAGACAATAATATGATAACCTAAAAAAGGGACCATACACATCAAAAAATTTAATTTATGGTAATTATTTCAAGTGAAATATATAACAATTGCGTTTAAGAAAGCACAGTAAATTGAAAGACAATGTATTACAACTTAGCAAAATAAATGATAAGTAAATAAACATTTGATAAACATTTGTATTATACCTGATTATGCAGGATTCTATCCAATGCTAGTCCAGTCTGGACTCTGCATTTAAAGCAGAATAGCACTATAGACAGTACTGGCTTCCCAGTCCTGGGAGCTATAGCTTGTTAAGGGTGCTGAGAGTATTTGGGAGACTCCCGTTCCTCTCCCAGAGCTCCGGTTTCGAACTTGGTTTAACAATCAGTCCCTCTTCCTTTGGGAGCTCTGAGAGTTGCAACTCTGTTAGGGAAATAGGGAGGTCTCCCAGCGATTCTCATGACCCTTAACAAACTACAGCTCCCATTATTCTGTTGAAGGAAACTGTGACTGTGGTATCATGGTGATTTAACTGAGTCTTACTTCAATGTGGTACACACAGCCCTGTCTCCCAATATCCCTCAGCATCTGAAACCTTGACTGCGGCCGAAGCTGGCCCTAAAATTAAGCACATATATTTCGGGTGCAGAGGGAAGAAAGAGAAAACTAGGATGCATTCCTATATGCTGTTACTTATTTATTATGGGAAGCCTCTTATGACCTTGGGCTGCTCACTGCCTCTCAGCCACGAGTGCCAACTTGAATCTTTGGCAATCACTCGTAGCTTAGTAAGATTGTCTTCCATAAACATGGTTTTAACAGTGAGTCCGTAAGTGACTGTCGAGGCCAATTCTGGATCCACACGTCCTTCTACAGTGGGGCATAGGTTTCCGGGTGGGTGTTGATCACAGTGTGGATTTGCCAAGTGTGCCTTCCCTAAGCACGTTTCTCCCTTGCGTCATGAGTTTGAGCATCTTCAAAGCCCATGACATCTGTGGTAAAGGCTGTTCTCCTAGTGGAGTGCTCGCAGGCCAGTGTTTCCCAGTTGTCAGTGTTTATACTACATTTTTTAAGATTTGCCTTGAGAGAGTCTTTAAACCTCTTGTTGACCACTGGCATTACACTTTCCATTTTTAAGTTCAGAATAGAGTAGCTGCCAACTTGAATAAAATATGGGCGGCAGGTAAGGCCCACCCCACATAATCTATCATAAGGCATGCATATTATTTGAATGGCAATGCTTATCAACTTTCGGGGGGGGGAGTCCTCAAATATTTTATTGGGAGGGTCAAGGGGACCTCAGTCCCTAGGAGATGGCTTGTATGCGCTCGTCTTGGCCTAACAGGGTTGCTGTGAGGGTTATATGGGGAAGAGGAGAATGATGCACACCACTTGGAAGAAAAGATTGCCTGCAAATGTACAGTGGTACCTCAGGTTACATACACTTCAGGTTACAGACCCCGCTAACCCAGAAATAGTACCTTGGGTTAAGAACTTTGCTTCAGGATGAGAACAGAAATCGTGCTCCGGCGGTGCGGCGGCAGCGGGAGGCCCCATTAGCTAAAGTGGTGCTTCAGGTTAAGAACAGTTTCAGGTTAAGAACAGACCTCCGGAACGAATTAAGTACTTAACCCGAGGTACCACTGTACTTCTTGTTGTTAGCTTTGAAAAGCAGGGTAGATGTTACTCAGAAGGAAGCTCTGTGGAACTCAACTGACTTTGAAGCCTAGGTGCCCAGGAACAAGTGGCAAAAAGGAAGATAAGGCATCCAGGAAATGGAACACAAAATCCCAGCTCCTCTGCCTCCACAATGTAGCAGCCAAGAGAAACATGCATGCATGCTGATCCCACAACAACAAACAGCACCCCCTTGGAAGTACTCTAGGCTTCCAGTAATCTGGAACAGCAAACAAAAATCCAGCAAGTGGAGCTTTTCAGCAGAGCTTTCCAGCTGCATACAGGCTGTGCATTCAAAGTGCACTGCCCCCTCCCTTTCCTTAAAAGAAAGAAAGAACCCTGGGAACTGTAGTTTGGCCCTCACAGAGCGGCACTTCCCAGGACCCTTAATACAACTACACTTCCCAGAATCCGTACGTGTGTGTTTATGTGCTTTAAACGTAAGGCAGCTTCGCAACTATAGAAGTTCTGCTTGCCTTGCACAGAGGCAGAGGAGCCCTATGGGATGGGAAACGTTGGCAACCTACAGAAGCACAAACACACACGCATCCAAACCAACAGTACTGCCAAATAAATTCAATGGAAGGTTGCTGCTGCTGCTATTGTTTCAAGAGCGGGGTAGAAGGGTCCCGATCCCGCCTGCCACCCTTCGGGGTGGAGGACGGGGCGCCTCGGATCAGCTCACCTGTCGGAAGAGCAGCCCCTGGCGCTGCGCGGTGCGGACGCAGTAGCATCGCCGGGGAAGGCTGGCCCGGGCCGGAGCGGCGCCCAGGACCCGCAGAGCAGCCGCGGCTGCAGCAGGGCATCTGCGGGACAGAGACATCGGGCGCGCCGCACTTGGTGGAAATGAAAGGAGTGGAGCGACGCCCTTTAAAAGTTCAGAGGCTGGGTCAGGAGCGGCGGCGGAAAAGTGGGCGGGCTGCGAGCCTCCTTAAAGCGCCACGCAGCGGCAGGAGCCCTCTCCTTGTTTTGGCTTTTCCTGCCAACTGACGAACCTTTTTAATGAATGCAGGAGCAAGAGCTGGCGTGCCAAAAAGTCCTGTGTAATGCTACTGTAATCACAAGATTTACTGGCAACAAACTCTTAACCTGGGCTTTGATCCCAAGGGCAAAGCACAGAACCCTTGCCACAAGTCGCGATATGAGCTAGAGAGCCAACTTGTCCAGATAAACACATTCTAGGAATGAGAGTTCTTATGGACTCCACCAGATTGACTCCACCAGATGATTGATTGCTCAGATAATACATTCCAGAGAAACCCATTTGGCGGAGTTCACCCCCTTCAACACACATTCATGCACACAGTCTATTCATGCACACATGGGTAAGAATGAAGAACCTTCAGCGTTTTGCCTTGCAGTATATTATATCTTCCTTTGGCTAGGATTTATTCAGTCCTCTTCCTGCCTGAGGTTCCTACCTTTCCCACCTTCTGCAGTCACTGATCAGTACTGTCTTAGGGACTGGCCACTGTGAAGTATTTAATTGAATCAGAGCACCAGGCTAAGACGCACTGTTGAATGCTATTTGCATGTGTGTGATTATTTGCAAAGGTGTATGTTTAAGTCTCTGGCTGGCTGGGACATCACTAGCACTGCACTTTGCAGCATGCATTACCATCCTCTAAGCAAATTAAAATAAATTAAAAAATAAGGTTTTTAAAATGGGGGGGGGGGGAGAGAGAGAGAGCCAGGAGATCCGGGGCCCAGTGCAAAAAATCTGGGACTTGGGCCTCCCACCCCTGAAATGCAATGCACCTGTTCCAGCAGCATAACTATAGCTAAGACTATATATGCTTCCACTCACAAAGTAGGGTAGTCTAATCCACATTCAAAAAGTGGGTATATCATTCATATCAATGAACTACCATCACTGTAACACTTTTAAAATCAAAGGTAGGCAAAGGCACCTGGCTAGCTCAAAGTAGAGCTGAACCGGCAGGTGTAAAGTCTACGTGCAGGGAGGTTCTTGTAAACAAGAAGCCTGCAACGATTACATGCTATCATTCTTTGTGCAAAGGGCAGCCTCGTTTTTCTGTTTTACAACGCTAAAATGTGTGTACTTAAGCTACATGGATATTATTGCAGTTTGCTGTGTGACTTGGGGGACGCTGTGCGAGCACTAGAGGGTAGGGCATGTCTGTGTGTAAAAGGTGAGGCAGTGGGATTTGTTGGTGCAATACAATATGGAGGGACATGGATATATATACATTATCGTTAGGGTGGGGAGCTGGAAATCTTTAACTAGTGCAATTAAGCTTCAATTTCAATGTTTAACATTGCCGTTTTCTATAGCCCAAAGGGCAAGAGATGTACAGTATTCTTGCATGAGATGGGGAAATACATTTTAATTTAATTTATTTTATTTTTTGCATTGTGTGGGTGGGTACTTTTGATAAAGAGAGAGAATGGGGAAAGAGGTTTTACCCGCAACACAGCAGATCATGGTAGAAAAAGTGGTCTCTTATTGGGCTTCCTTCCTTATTTATTCCATTCATATCCCACTTTTGTATCCAAGGAGTTCAAGGGGCATACATGGCTCTCCGCCTCCCTCCTCATTTAATCCTCACAACTACCCTTTGAGGTAGGTTAGGGTGAGAGGAAGTGACTGGCCCGAGGTCACCCAGTGAGCTTTGTGGCCGAGAATTTGAATCCTCTTCTCCGAGGTCCTTTTTGGAGCAACTAAGCACTACACCACCCCTGACTTACACACAGCCTTCTTTTTTTGCAGGTAGAAATGCCCCTATTATTTACTTACTTATTAAAAAGGCTGCAAACTGACATTCCCTGTTTTATCTAGGGGGCGGGGCAGGGATGTCTGTATAGGAGGAAGAACAGGTTCTGGCAAATTTCAGCACCAAGTCTAAATGCCTAGCTTTCATCCCTAGTAAAAACGGCCTTGATCTAATGTGAGAATATTCTGGAACACAAAGAGATTTTCCAAAGGCGATTGTATATAATAATGCTCACACATCCATCCATCCTAATACAGCATCAGTAAATAGCTCCCACCCTTTTAAAACGTTGACTCGCTCCTGGAGTATGACTAACCCTAGCTTGAAACACAGACATCAACGAGGGGAAAGAGCTGCTGCTCAGTGGCTGAGCAACTGCTTTGCATGCAAAAGGTCCTGGGGTTCAATCTCTAGGCTGGGTTGGGGGAAAAACCCTAGTCTGAAATCCTAGATGGCTTGCTGCCAAGGCAGTGTGGACAATACTGAGCTAGATGGACCAGTGAAAAGCAGCTTAGATGTTTGCCTGCCAGGGAAATGCTGCATTTACTACACGTCCAGAAGGCTTTTCTACCCTGGACAGCATAGAACTCAGAACAGCAGCTCATTGGCCAAAAAAAAAAAAAGGCGATTAGGTTTGTCCGTCTCCAGCCACCGTTAAACGTCGTTTATCCGCGCTCCTCTGTGGGCGAAACCATTCGGCGGAGGGGTGAATATGAAATCATCCCTGGATGTGGTTCTGCCCGGGCGTGCTCATTTTGCCAGCAAGGCTTGCTCAGTTGATTCTGCTGCAGGTAGTTCCTCTTCTGTTCCGTATAGATTGCTTCTGGTTTTTGTATAATCGCGCTTCCTTCGACTGCTTGTGATTTAGTCTTTTTAAAAAATATATTTTTATTTTCGCATTTTCCCGTCTGTTTGCGCGCGCGCGCGCACTTCTAGGCAGCGCGGAGTTTTGCATTTCAATGTACGGTACTTTCCAAAACTAAACCAAATTGAAGAGCTCCTTGCTACTCCCGTTGCCTGTGCTTCCTCAGCTTCATTCGCCTACTGTGCATTCTACGAAGCAGCTTAATAATAATAATTTATTATTTGCATGCCCAAAGCATAAAAATCTATGGGTAAAAGAAAAGCGGTAGAATAATACAGTTCTTTGGAAGTTCTTTTTTTTAAGCCAATGCAAGAAACACTCTTAAAATTGCACCCACCCCCTTGATGCAATATGAGCTTCCAAAGTGGGTCTCTCTGAAACTTTGGCTTCTTGATACTTGAAATCCTGTCTGTTTTTAAGGGTCGTGGGACATCATGGCCTAAAGGCATCTTGTTCCAACAGTCTCGGCTCAAGTTACGCAGGTTCTGGTCTGGTCAGTGTCCAGATCATGAGGAATGTTTGGGAAACGCCTCCCCTGAACTTCCATGGAAGAAAGGCGGGGTAGAGGTGTAATAACATTTCCTTCCTTCCAACACCGCCTTGCCTTAAAGTCTGTATCCGTCTGCAGGGCTGCAGCCTTAATAGTAAGCAATAATAATGCAGAGAAAAGGTGGGCTCCTCTCTTCCCTGAAAATTAGCACCACCGTCCCTGTCTTTCTCGAGTTAAGGAGCAGGCATTAAAGGAGTAAAATTCTGCAGCCCCAGGGCAGACTTAAGGACCAGCTTCCTCTCCTTAGGAACAGAGGCTGTAAAATTAAACACCCACACAGCCTTCTCATATCCAGGTTAGTTCTCAAGGCAAGTACCTTGCTGCATTCAATGAGCTTCCTACTTTCTTGGAAGGAAGGAAGCCACGTTGAAATCAATGGGCCCTTAAGGGCAACCTGGCCGGCAGTGCCACATCGTGGAGGAACTGAAGCCACGCACATTTCCATCCTGAAGGATGTGCATGTAAGAGGTTAAGCCCAGAGTCTCCCTACTGCTAGGTAAGCCTGGTTAGGATATAAAAAAAATCCTTTCAGTAGCACCTTAGAGACCAACTAAGTTTGTTATTGGTATGAGCTTTCGTGTGCATGCATGCACACGAAAGCTCATACCAATAACAAACTTAGTTGGTCTCCAAGGTGCTACTGGAAGGAATTTTTTTATTTTGTTTTGACTATGGCAGACCAACAGAGCTACCTACTATAACTGTCAATGTTTTCCTTTTTTTAAGGGAAATTCCCTTATTCCGAATAGGATTCCTCACAAGAAAAGGAAAAAGTTGACAGCTATGCTACCTACCTGTAACTGGTTAGGACATGGCCTTGAATGGAGAGGTGGTGGTGCATCATTATATAGCGCTGGAGTCCTAAGGACATTTATTGGGCAGTAAGATCTAGCGGGTCTTCTTTCCGAAATAAGTCTGCATGGAAGCACCTGGCCACATGTATATAATTGCTTAAGCTATAAGTGGCCCTGAACTCAGCGGGGCTTACTTCCAAGTAGCCCTACTGCATAGGCTGGTAGCAGCATCCTCTGACGTCCAGAGGGGTTTTGTTTTGTATATTTATTTAGTAGGTCTTAACTAACCAGTAACCATGCATGCGTAAGATTTTGCAAGAGTTTGCTTTCAAGTAAACATTGCTAACAAGAGTATTTTTTTAAAATAATAATAATAATATTACTTATCCAGCTTCCCACTCCCCTTCGCCCAGCTCAGAGCAGACCCATTGGAATGAATGATTTCTGTTCTAAACAGAATTTAGTTGCATGCACGATGGTGGGGGTCTAGGTCTGCAAATTGAAGAGCTCCCAGGGACGGCCGTTTCCGTCATCGCGACCTCATCACGTTTATTAAATCCCCCCCCCCCTTCCCCAACACACACATACCCCTACTTTGCAAAATAAATAAATAAATACCGGGGAAGGCGCGGATTGGCCGAGGAAGCTGCGAGTAAGGAAAGACCCCTCCTCGCCAGCCAGCCAGCCGGATTGGTGCTGCTGCTGCTGCTGCTGCGCCTGCCCGTCGCTGGGGACCGGCCTGGGAAGGGATGCGGTGGGGCGCACGACCTGGCCCCCCGCGGGGACAGCATGACCCGGCGCGATCGGCTCATGAAGGGGAGACCCCAGAGGCAGCCTGAGGCCGGGGGAGGCTCCCGGGCCGGTGAGTGGCGTCTGGGGGGAGCGAGGGGGCGGGCGGGCAGCAGGAGGAAGGCCCAGCTGCTCAGCTGCATACATAGATGCGGTGAAAAGGCGAGGAGGGATGCCCAGCGGTGGGGTGCCAGAAAACGGGGAGTCCCCGCTGCATTCGTATTTGAAGGCGGTTTTGCATTTGCTCCAGGCCTTGGTGCGTCAGGGTGAAGAAGGGGGCAGTTTTTATTTTCCTCTCCGCCCCTCCCCCCAAAAAAGACTAAACCGGTTTGAAAGCACACACCCCAATATGGTGTGAAGCCGGGTGCATTGCACCAAAGCCAGATTTCCCTCGGTGGTAATACGAATCACATTTCAAGCCCCTGGTCTCCTGTCCACTGTCTGACTGGTTTTGGGGAAGGAGGGCCAGCTGTAAGGGAAGGGGGCTGCCCCATAGCAGCAAGAGCTGTTGTCTGTGTTACTGGGAAGTAAGTGCCACTCTGCTTCATGGGGCTTACTCCCAGGGAAGTGTGCAGAGGATGGCTGCCTTGGTTGCATTATTTTTTTAATGCTTTGATGAAAACATTGTGGTTCGTGGCTGGTGCAAACTCTACATCCTGCACTCCCTCTTCTTAAGGAACTAGGTCAGGGGGCTCATGCTTAAATGATTTGGACCCAGCACCAATCAACTCTGTTCCACCACAATCCTATGTGTGCTTATTCAAAAGTAACACCCATGGTTTCCAGTGGTGCTTGCATGCAGATAAGTGTGTCTGGGATTTCAGACTGTGAAACTGAACTTCCCTGGAAAGCCAACAGCTTGCTCTTTAAACATACTGTATTTATATATAATAGTTTATATAAGCTGTTTTGCTTGTAATTGTTGCATATACAAGCATTTGCCTTGCTAGGTCCTGAGGCATCGCTCCCCCCTCTAAAAATAAAAAGGACTGTGCTTGAAAGAGGTACCTGCCCAAGTCAGAGCCCTTCTGAAGCAACTTACTCAACTGAGTAAACATGCAGTGATGTGATTTCTGCGAATTACTGTTGTTGTTATTATTATTATTAGTAATTGAATTTCTATCCCGCCCTTCATCCGGGGATCGTGTGGTGGTTTACAATATAAAAACACAAAAAATACTCAACAGCACAAACGAAACATCAGTCCCTTTTCGCAAGGAGCTCTGGGAACTGTAGCGCTGTGAGGGGAATGCGTTGCCAACAACTCTCAGCAGCCTGAACAAACTACAGTTCCCAGAATTCCTTGGGGGAAAGCCATGACTGTGTGAAGGGGCATCTCGGTGCTTTAAATGTGTGGATGTGGTCCCAATTCATTGCTGGCCTCCCAACTGTCTCCAGTGCCAGCCAGCACGGTCAGTAGTCTGTTTCCAGCAGATAATGTTTCTGCAGTTTCCTGCCATCAGGAAGGGAGGATATTGGGGCACCATCTGATCTGAAAGCTTTCCCCTGTAATACTTGGTTTGCAAATGCTGTTAGTTTTCTTTCTCCTCTCTGCCTTATCCACCAACTCCTCCTCTCTGGCCTGTATTCCAAGCGAGTTTCCATAGCAACTCCACACTTAGGCCAAGAGCAGAATCGAGCAGTAATTGGATCCCGGGGCCTTTCGGGAGACATGAAGCCATGAGGGAACCCTGCGATTGAAGTACCATTAGTTAACACATTTCTGATCCATACGCTGCCCGCCTGACCCATGGCAAAACCAAGGCCAAGCCTGTAAATGAGGGCGCAGGAATAACCAGCCCGTTTGCCCGCGCATCCTCGTAAAGGTTATGTGAGGCTTGGAAACGGGGGGAAAGGCCTATTTGCACAGATCTGGCCTCCCTAGTCACCTCAAGCTGCTTCTCGCTCGCCATAGGTGACCAGGCATGGGGCTGTTTACAAGCCTGTACAAGATGTGAGGGCACTGGATTTCTGCATTTTATTTTTACAATTAAACGTCGTGAGTGATGGGAGAGGGGTGGCGATACATTTTCCCGTTGCTATATATTTCCCCGTTAAGTCTCTATCTATGATGCATTGCTTCATTAAGATTAATTAGCAACATAATGAATGGGATGCCAAGTGCTATATCGAGTCCAGTTGGCAGCTTCACGCTGAAATGAGTGTATTAACAGATTTTCATTTGAAAAAAGAAGTGTGTGCAATTGAGCTATGTGTAAGTATTTCGACAAGAAATAATCTGGAAGAAACTCTAAATTGGTTTGATTGTAACATTCTCCTATGCTGAGCATGCTTTGTTGTGTTCGCCCCACCCCCGACAATCAAATATGTCAGTTCAAATTTTATTTGTCATTGTTATTTATTAAATTTGTATACCTCCCTATACCCGTAGATCTCAGGGCAGTTACCATTCTCTCTCTCCCCACCCCTCCAAATACCTTCTTTAAAAAGCTATTAGGGGAGAAAAAACACTTTTGAGCTACTTTCAGCCCACTTTGGAGCAGCTTTGCTCCGCCAATCAAAATCGGAGCCACTTAAGTTGGTTTTTGAATTTTTTTATTTATTTAGGGAATCTAACGACTCCTGTTTTGTATACAGATGCCTTGTGCCTAGAGCCAAGTCTCCAGCGGCAGCACCAGGAATGTGTTACTGAGGTTCTTAGCGAAGACATAAATATATAAATACTTTTTTGTGTTTTGTTTTGTTTCAAAAAGCCCCACCAAGTTCCTAGTCCTTAGGCCTAGATAAGCAGGCTTGAAAGTGCACGAGCAATCTCCCAGGCCAGAGAGTGAGTGGCTTTGTAGGGTTTCTAGCAGCCAAGGACAAGGTTTCAGTCTCCCTCTGCCCCCCACAACGAACAGAAACAGAACGAACAATGTAAAAGGAACATCTGACTGGATGTAAGGCAGTTTCCTGTGGTTCTGTCTTCTCAGAACATTGATTCCCGAGTTTCTGTTTATATATTCTATCTTCACGATGGATGACTGTGCCATGGCGATAAAACCATTTCTCTCTGTTTGTGCAGGTTACATTCTCGCACGACCAAGCCTTGTCCTGATGCTGGAAAGGGGGGAACAGCCTTGCATGAGCAACAGCAAGATCAGCGTGGGCACCAACCCTCTGAGCAGCAGTGTTGCGGGTAAGGGGGCGTCTGGAAAGCCAGCCTGGAGCATCCTGACCTGATCTCCTAGGACTTAGGTCATGTGCGCACCATAAATCTAAAGCCCTGTGATATCACTTTAAACAGCTATGGCTTTCCCTCCAAAGGGAAATGAATGAAGTTGAGACACTTGGATTTAAAATAAATATTGTTTAACAGAAAGTGGAGAAGATGGGTGTTAACCATGGAGTGATGCCTTAAATAAATTTTAAAATGTAACTGGAAGATGGGAAAAGGGAATTTTTTTCTTTTTCTTTATTACTTCTTTTTTCTTCTGTTTTCTCTCTTTCCCCTGCTTCTTTCTTTTTCTTTTCTTCTTTGGTGTTCTCTGTTTGGAAATTTTATTAGGGTCCAGGGATTGTACACTCTTGAGGGTTGTAGATGGTTGATGGAGGGGCCCTGGGGGGCAGGCGGGGAAATATTGGGTGACAGGGAGGATAAAGGGAGGATAAAGATCCCAGGTGAGAGCTGGGAGGGCCTATGACGATCTGCAGTAAGGGTTAAGAACTACTTTTAAAAGAAGACTTTGTATGCTATTACAGTGGTACCTTGGTCCTTGAACTTAATACATTCTGGGAGTCCGTTTGACTCCCAAAATGGTTCGAAAACAAAGGTGTGTTATGAAAAAACTTTAATAAAAGTATTAACAACAACTAGAGTCCCCCCCCCTGCAAAGAATCCTGGGAGTTATAGCTTGTTCAGGGTGCTGAGAGTTCTTAGGAGGTCTCGTTCCCCTCCAAGAGCTACAATTCCTAAAGGGAATTAGCTATCAGTTCTCTTCCACAGGGAACTACAGAGATTGTACAGGTGAGTGGCAGCAGGGTGCATCAGTCTCCCCAGTCCATGCATTTAGTGATTGGACTGATGAGAAGCTAGAGAAGTGGGGCAGAGAAATGGCTAGGAGATGCGGGAATGGCCTCCGGTTGATGAGGATGCCTGGCTTCTGACACCCTCCTTTCCCCTCCCCTTCCAGACTCGCAGGCCCTGAAAGAGAACGCCAAGTCGCCTTCGCCCGCGGCTCTGTCTTCGCCGCCCGCCACGGAGTCACCCAAGCCTGCCCGGCCCCGCCGCCCCCGCCCCCCAGCCGTGCTGCCCTCCGAGCGCCCCTACCAGTGCAAAGACTGCGGCAAGCGCTTCGTGTACCGCTCCAAGCTGGCCACGCACCAGTGGACCCATTGCGCCGAGCGCCCGTACAAATGCCCCGACTGCCCCAAGAGTTTCAGCTACCCGTCCAAGCTGGCGGCCCACCGCCGCACGCACACCGGCGAGCGGCCCTACCCCTGCACGCTCTGCCCCAAGCGCTTCGGACACCGCTCCAAGCTGGCCGCCCACCAGTGGATCCACACGCCCGAGCGCCCGTACAAATGCGCCGACTGCCCCAAGAGCTTCTGCTACCCTTCCAAGCTGGCCGCCCACCGCCGCACGCACACGGGGCAGCGGCCCTACCCCTGCAACCGCTGCGGGAAGAGCTTCTGCTACCCGTCCAAGCTGGCCGCCCACCAGCAGATCCACGCGGCCGCTGCGGCGGGGCGGCCCTACCCGTGCATGCGCTGCAGCAAGAGCTTCCGGCAGCTGCGCAACCTCACGCTCCACCAGCGGGTGCACGAGGACGGGGAAGTGGGGGATGACTTGTCCCAAAGCAAAGGCCACAGCAACGGAGAGAGGCCGTAGAGTGGAGATCTGAAGCGACTGGACAACGTGGGGGTGCGGGGAGGAAATTGGCTAACTTGGATGCTTGGTGGGTGCGGGGGGATCATTGTAAATAACGGCAAGGGAGAGGGGGTTTGGGGTTTACACAGAGATGGGCTTTGAGGACCCATAGCAGCTCAGCTCTTTTGTTGCGGGTCTTGCCGCTGTTTCCCCCCCTACAGTGCCAAGTCGATGTGTGTGTACTCTCCGCCTCCCCATAGCCCAAGCTGTGTATACCATGCTGAAAAAAAAGCCAAAGTGTGTGTGGTCAGAGAACCCCGGTTCAGCCCTCAGAAATGGCATATTCTGCAACCTAACTTGTGCATTGCTGAGATGTGCACCTAGGAGGGGCAGAGCGCCACGGCCTGCAACCTCAGCACCCCACTGATTCTGCAAAACAAGCCCAGCCACTTTTGAATCCCGATTTCACAAGAAGCTTGCATAAATTCATAGAAAATGGATGGATATGCACAAATCTTCCGGAGAGCAGAATTCTGCCATTGCTTTGTACAACCTCCGACCATTGCCCAGGCTGTCTCTTGTCTGTGTTCAGTTGGCGCATGCTTACATTGGAATGCAGAGATCAGCATCTTCACAATCCTAGGCTCTGCGAAGTTAGGCCTGTCAAACTTGGCATTTTCTGGGTTGTACAACATCTGCCTCCTGTGGCTTATCAAACCCTGTTTGTGCCTCCAGCCTGTGGCTAAAGAAAAGGGGGACAGTTTTAACAACTTGGCATGCCACGCACACACTGGTGTCACACAGTGTGTGCAATAGAAGTTGCTAGTCTTTATGAAGGCACAGACAAGTCTGAAAATGTGGTTGTGGCATCTGCAAAATTGCCAGGGGTAGCTTAAGCCGAAATGCCAAGAATCCATGAATTTTTTGGGGTGTGCTCGCACACTACATTCTGTACAGTGGTGGGCCCTCCCAACAAGTAGCAGTAGAATAATTTTGCAAATGTTATGTGTTGTGTTCATCTGCCATTTTTAAATTTTTGCTTCAGTTGGCATGGAATCTTACCTCTGAGCCAGCTGCTGTAAAAACTGGTGGCTCTGGGCTTCTGTCCCTGATCACATCAAAATATGTCCCTAGCCATTTACAACAAGTACTGAAAACTGCTTAAGCACACAGATTTCTAGTGCTGGATTTGGATGGCTGGATTTCCCACCCCCACCCTCCATCACTTGGTTTACACAACTTTTACTGCCCGGTTCCTTTCGCTTCTTCCGTGTGACCGTTTCACCACATGCCTAGAGAGGCAGTCCCACAAACCTGCCTTCCTTTGTTACGCCTCCCCCCTCCACAAATTCCCCACTTTTGGGGGTTACTGTCTTGCCTCTTGGTTCAAATGTTGGATTTCTAAGACGCAGTGTGTTCCAATGTCCCACTTTTTAGACACATGTCCACCTTTCCATCCCCCTTTCTTGGATGGATGAATTCTACACACACACTCCTTGTCCTTGTACCGTTTGCCAAAGCATCTTTTGCCTTCTCACCCCACCCCAAAGGCATTTGTTCAGATTGTTGCAAGGGAGGCGGGGAGGGGGTGTTGATTGATCCATGGTATGTTTGTAGTTGATACTAAAAAAAAATGGGACTCCCCTGGGAGCCTGGAGTTTTTTTGTCTTATTTTTCTTGGAAAAAAATAATAAAACCTATAAAAGTTTAGTTAACCGGGTTAAGTTGAGCTTGGAGCATATGACAAATGCAGAATTTTGGGGAGCAACGCAGTAAACAGGTGTAGCATCATTGGCCAAAAGAGGGATGTGCCCACTTTCAAAGCATTTTGATACGAGAAACAGGTAGCTAGATTAAATTGGATGTCCATTAGAGCCAAAAAGGCAGTTACTTAACTGTTGTTGCTGGTACAGATCAAAGCACTTGTGCCTAAATATTCCAGATTTTGTAAGCGTTTTAAAAAAGCACAGACCCAAGTCAGATATCTCTTCCACACATTAAGTTAGACAGAGGAAGGTGGAGGGAGACAAATAGTGATGTCAACCCTAGGGGTAATTGCCTTGGCTTGAACTTTTAAATGGTTTATACAAATAGTTTGTGGGTTTCTAAGTAATGCAATTATGTCAGAAAGAAGAGAAGCATTTGGGGCTGTATGAGCAGGACGGAAGGAAGGCAGGGAATGGAGACCTCAGGGGGAAGGAGCCAGTTGTTTTACTGGGTGTTCAAGCAATTCCACACCACCCTCAATTGCCACATTATGAGCCAAAACTGCCGCTATGAGCATCAGGAGCCTTTTTAAAAGCTTAAATGCATGACTTCCTGTCCAGAACTGTTGAGACCCTGTTAGAAATCATCATGTGAATATTCTGACACCTGTTTCTTCTCAGTAAGATCTTAGGAGGTTGTTACAATCTCTCTGTTCTGTGGCGCAGAAGAGCAGCTCGAGACAGATTTTATTTTCATTTCATTTATTTTTTATTAAAAAAAAAACCCCACAACAAACCAGATTGGAGGGGGAAAGAAGACATGAATACATCCCTGGAGGAGATTCGTCACAACTTTTGGAACATGCAAACTGCAATGAACCATAGGTATAATTCATTTTTAAAAACCAAGAAGCCCTTAATCTTGGGACATGTGAGCTGTGATGCAAACTTGATACAGTTTAAATGCTACGCCTCCCCCACCCCCATAGCAACCCTGAACGTGGCAGATTTTAGAAGGGGTGTGTGTGAATTCTCATTGCACTCCCAAAGCTAGTTCCCCTCTGGTGAGTAGTCAAGATAGCTTATTTAAAAAACACCATTGCCCTTTACTGTCACCTGAAAGCCATCACCAGCTTCTTGGGAATCATAGCTGAACAAACACTCCAGAGCATCCCATGCTTTTCAACAATTTCTGGCTAACACTGTAATGCCCCCTACCTGGGGACAAGCTAATCCTCCCCGCCAAAGAGGCATTGGAGTAAACAGGAGGCCAACATGGTACTGCCATCTTTTTTGATATAGCTCCTATCAATACTATCCGTTGGTCGTGCTGATTGAAGCACCTCATTGGTAGGCTTCTGCTTACTTCTTACCCACGCCTGTGATCTCTGGGCTTCCACATAGTAGGAGCTAGAGGAAAATGGAAGGTGGTAGCTGACTTCCCATTTAAGCATCAAAGCTAAGGGTTCAAGTGGAGAACCTCTGTATTGGAGATGTTATATATACTGGGGCCAAAGAGTAGAGTCCATAGAAATGGGCCATTTGCAGCCCTTTCCTGAAGCTGGGAAGCTCCTGTGAGCAATCGGCTTATTTACTGTAGTTTATCCATGAACGTCAGGACAGAGAAGAGTTGCTGGCTTGATCCCCAGCGCTGAGGGCAGCACCAATGATGTGGGGGAAGAGATGGGCTGTAAAAACGAGGTAGATTATTCAAGGCCTCTCAGTCCAGTTCACAGCCAGGGAAAAGCAGGAAGGAACATGCAATTTTGGGGGGTCTGGGGCTGAACACCACTCCCCCCCCCGAAAAAAAAGCTCACTGGGAAGCTGAACTAAAGGGTGGGTTTTTCTGCTGTTTCCCTTCCAGCGAAATCTGAAAAGAGTTCTTTGCCCAGGGTAAAAAGTAAAGAGTGGAACTGACAACACCCTGCTGAAATGAATCAAATCATAAGACAATTAACTCCAGCTGCTTTTTTTGCTTCCTATAGGAGAAATCTGAGGCTTGGGCCATAAGAGCTGCAATATAAAACTTAGTATGATTTTAACAGTCATAGGTTTTCCCAATAGCAACCCTGAACACTGTTTAAAGCGGTTGTGTGTGAGAACGCTTAGCATTAAAACATCTCTGTACCTGGGCCAAGCATGCCACTTAGGATTCTATGCTCGGTCACTGTAGGGCGTCTACTCCAAATACCACATGCTTATAACGGAGCTGTGTAAGACAGCGCAAGTACACTGAGCTTAAAAAGGAATGTGAACTCAGGGACTGGATATTACACTGCGGGCCTCATTTGAACATGATTTTCCAGAGGTGGTCGTAGAAATGCAGGTGAGCAGAATGTCAACCAACATGGTAATGCACACTTGTGAGTGGTTAATTCCTGAATTCTAAAAACGGGCTTGGATTTGCCCCATGGTCAGGCCAGCATACCACTGATTGTTCATACGCTCAGGTTTGCTGAATCTGCAGATGGAGGAACAAATTTCTTCTGCAAAAAATGGAAGCTTGTGATGGGGTGGCCTTAGTCACAAAATGAAAAGGGGTCAAGGAGCAGGAGGCAAACATCAACTCCTGTAAAACTGGGAGCAAGGCAGAGCTTGAATAGAGGGACAGGTGCCTCCGTTCTAAGGACAACGTTTGTGTCAGAATATCCACCTTGAAATGGCCAGTGTCCTCAGCTATATACATATAAAGATAAGAGAGATAGAGTAAAGTTAACTGACTGGCAAGAACACACAGAGCCTCCTAGGAAGTGATGGGGGGGGGGAGGGAAAAAGAGAGAAAGAAAAAGAATGAAATGAGAACCAGGGTCAGGAGAGGGTCCCAAAAATAAAAGGATTGTTTGGAGGATGCATCTTGCTTTCCCAGTTGCACCCTCGCCCCTTATTAGTCCAAACTAAGTTCCCACTCCACTTATTAAGCCCTTGAGAGAGTTGACACTAGCCCCAATCCAGAGCAGCTCACCACTGCCACTGTGCACCATGGAGGCTTTCTACACTGATTTCTCCAGAGCAGCTCGAGTTATTTCTGAAAATGAAATCGTGTCCCATGTGAGATGGGGTAGCTACTGCTGGAGCAAGCAATAGTAGAAAAAAAGGCCCTCAAAATCCCAGCTGCGTCTGTGTGAGTGTAGAGGCTGCTGGACAAGGCCCTTGAGAGGAAGGAACGTCCCAGTGGAAAACGAGTGAGAGAGAGCATGGTGTCAAGTGGCCCCAAGGGGAAGGAGAGCTGTTTGCTCCAGAGGGAGTATACAGGACCCACAGGGACGTGCCTGCAGGGAGGAGGCTGGCCTACACTCGTGGTACCACAACATAGGGCTGGTGGGGGATCAGCTTCTGCCGCTGGTTGCAGTTGTAGATCCAGCGGGGGCGCACGAAGGAGAGGTTGGCATTCTCGTTCAGAGCCTGCAACAGAAAGGAGAAAACGCTGGCACTTGGAAGACCCTGGCCCCACCCCAAAAGGCGGAGCCAGTCCATCCTGATGCAGTGCCTACCTGTTGTGGGCTAGCACAAGTATTTCAATGAGGTTGCCCCGGTTCACATTTTATCTTGGTCACAAAGCGAGAGACAGCGGGGTGCTGTGGTTAGAACCAGGTTTCCCCACTCTTGTCTGACACTAATTCCCTACTGAAGCACAGAGCTTGCTGGTTACTTAGGGCTAGTCACAGATGGGCAGGGTATAAGAAAGATTAAAACAACAACAACAAACATCAACAAGAAGTATTATTCTTCAACCTCATCCCCCACTTCTACAGCAATGTAACATTAAACATGTTACTGGGTCATTGCAAGGATGCTGAAAAGCTCTTGAAGCATTTCGAAAGCATAAAATGCTAAAAAGTGCTACTACAACCATCTGTTTCTGCCACAGTTGCCTTTGGAACTGGCCTCCTGTGTTTATCTCCATCCGTTATCTACGGGGCCATCTGAAAAGAGTGTCATGGCTTACAGAGGATGGGGCTAGACCAGTGCAGTCCTACACAGCTGGCAGGATGAGCTCACCTCCTCAAACGTGTCGTCCCACTCTTGAGCTGTGATCACATAATTCACTCGCTCATTCATATAGTCCTCCACTTGCCTGCAAGCAGAAGAGAAGCATTCCCCTCACAATAATTTACAGCCACCTTTTCCTCCTCCCCTAAGAGCAGAAAGAAGTGATCTTGAAATACACTTGAGATTGCAGAATTGGCACAAATGGCTGGTTCGCATGACATACTAAGCCAAGCTGGCTCACCCTCCAGATGTTTTGGTGAGTTGGCTGGGGCTGATGGGAGTTGTGGTCCAAAACCTCTGGGAGGGGGGGGTGCCAGGTTGGCAAAGGTTGTACTAAGCCAAACTTGAACATATGGGTTCCTAGGGAGGACCTTGCACCCACTTGGCTCCTTCTCCCAGGTCACCTTTGCTGCCACACCAAACTAGGCAAGGTTTGGCTTAGCATGGCCTCTGAACCAGGACTTGTGGCTAAACTCTCCCTCAATTAGCCGCAAGCTGTAGCCAAGGTTTGTTCTAAATCTGACATCTCATGGGCATCCTCTCACCAAAAAAGGAAAAGGAAAGAGGTAGATTGTATCCAGACCCACAGAAATTAATGGATATGACTAACTTAATTTCAATGGGTCTACTCTGAGCAGTATTTTTAAATGGGTCGATAAGTTTGTATGCAAGTATACTGTGCTAAATGTTACAGTATATTGTTGGAATTGTGCTTTTTAAAATTTAGCCAGCCCTGACAAAATGAGTATGATATATTCAAAGCATGTTAGGCATGAAGGAGTGGACAGTCAAGACTCTACGTAGTTTCTGGTTTCTCTCTTCCTAGAGAAGCATCCTTACAGAAAAATATGGAATTGTGTTTCGAAATTTGGCTGCTAAACTCAGCTTACACTCTTTTGGGGGCTACCTCTGATGACAGCATGCATTCAGCACGCCACTTGGGCCACAGCAGGCACCTACTGCAATGCCACCGCAGCAAAACTCACCCGTTAAAAGCCACAATGTACCGGTTCAAGAGGCGTCGCTCTTGAGAAGGGAATTCGCCATAAAGGAAGAAGTGTTTGCCCACAAATAAATCTGGCAAAGACAGAGAAGAAGATGAATGAAGACTTGAAACCCCAAACTCGCCCCATAAATGAACCACATAATTTCCAAGCATGGTGTCTATTGATGCAGTTCAAGACTAGAGGGTTGCATCTTTTTTCTTTTTTTTTAATATAAATTTTATTTTATAACACCATACAAACAAAAAAGACAAACACAACACATTCACACCAAAAAAACATATACATACATATACATACTCCTGACATAAGACAACAACAAATTAACTACATTAACTACTTAACACACAACACTGACTGACTTCCCTTCATCTCGGTTTCGGAATGTGTTATAAAATTTTCTATCTGCAGTTTCTTTTCCTCAAAAAAAATTCTTTACATCACAAGTGTTATATCGCACCTACTGTGTTTTTTAGTTTTTTTTACCTCTGTTTCCATGTATGCCATGAATTTATTCCAATCTTTATTAAACTTTGTGTCTTTTTGATTTCTTATTTTCTGTGTCATTTTTGCCAATTCTAGATAGTCGAGTAGTTTCGATTGCCATTCATTTATGGTTGGGATTCTTGGTGTCTTCCAATTCTGCGCTATTAGAGTTCTGGCGGCCACTGTCGCGTACTGAAAGAGTGTTTGATCTTCCTTTTTTGATTTCCTCTCCAATTATCCCCAGCAAAAAGGCTTCAGGTCTCTTTATAAAGGTATATTTAAAGATTTTTTTTAGTTCGTTGTAAATAGATTCCCAAAATTTTCTAATAGGCTCGCACAACCACCACATATGATAAAAATCGCCCTCCTTAATCTTGCACTTCCGGCATAATTTATGACCAGTTTTATATATTTTTCCCAGTTTTACGGGCGTTACGTACCACCTGTACATCATTTTGTACATATTTTCCCTGAGTGTTGTGCATGCCGAGAATCTCATACCTTTATTCCATAGTGCCTGCCATTTATCAAACTCTATGTTATACCCAAAGTCCATTGCCCATCTCACCATTACCTCCTTTACTTCTTCATCTTTGGTGTCCCATTCGAGCAACAGGCTATACATTTTCGATAGGAGTTTTGTTTTACTTTCTAATATTTCAATCTGGAATCTAGATTTTTTCTCACTTATCCCATTTTTTTATCCTCGGTCCAGATAGAGTTGATTTGATGAAATTGGATCCAACCTGTCAATTTGTTCTTTATTTCTTCATATGGCCTAATCCTCCAACCGGTCTCTGTTTTTACTAATAAATCTTCGTAGGTCCATCTTTCTCCTTCGATATTTGTTTTTTTATTGTCAGGATATCGATTGGCGAAAGCCACCAAGGGGTATTCTGTTCCAATAATTTTTATTTCTTTCCCACACCTCCAGTAATGGCCCTCTGAAGATATGGTTAGAAAATCCTTTATGGATCTTTCCCTTATTACGCCATAGGTAAGCGTGCCAACCGAATCTTAAATCAAATCCTTCTAAATCTAGCAGATCTTTATTTTTATAATAATCCAATCCTTGACCCAACAGAGGCATGAGGCTTCATAATATAACTTTAAATTTGGGACTGCGAATCCTCCTCTATCTCTTTGGTCTGTGAGTAATTTGAATCTGATTCTCGGCCTTTTTCCTTGCCAGATGAATTTAGAAAGTATTTTCTGCCAGCCCTTGAATATTGATGTTCCCTGATTATTGGTATATTCTGAAATAAGAATAGCAGTTTCGGTAATAGACTCATTTTTATTGCCGCCATTCTCCCCGACCAGGATAGCTTTATTCTATTCCAGGTATCTAAGTCCTTCCTTATTTCTTTCCATGCGGTTGTATAATTGTCTTCCATCAAATTAATGTTCTTTGTCGTTAACCAGATTCCAAGGTATTTTACTTTTTTGGTTACTTTAATTCCAGTCTGAGATTCAAGGTGATTTTTTACCTTCTCTTCTACATTTTTAATCAACATTTTAGTTTTTGTTCTGTTTAGTTTAAAACCGGATAGTTTTCCGAATTCTTCTAACAGATCTAACACCTTACTGACACTCTCTTCTGGATCCTCCAAAGACAACATAAGGTCGTCAGCATAAGCTTTCAATTTGTATTCTTTCACTCCTATTTTTATTCCACGTATCTCTGAAGTTAGGGTTGCATCTAATTAATTGATTTCAATGGGTCTACTCTGAGTATACTAACATTGGATGCAAACCAGGAACTCTCAGGTCCTAGTCTCATCTATACCAGCAAGGGAAGAAACAGCATGGTTACATCTCATCTCCTGACTTCATTTTTCCAGTCTCTCCTTGCCTTTAGAAGTCATGAGGCCTCCTTAGCGGAGAAGGGAGAAAGCTGGGGCTGCTACTAAAAAACTTATCATTAAATAATTTGCACTAAATAAGTCTCAATATATCTCAGAGATACTGGCGGGGATAATCCACAGCTTTAAAAAGCTACCACTCTGGTGAAAAGAAAAGGTAATCTTTAATATTTTCTTCTTAACTTCCTTTTATAGGAATACTCAAAAGTGTAAGAAGAGCCCTGCTGGATCAGGGTAAGTCAAGCATCCTGTTCTCAAAGTGTGCTGCCCAGATGCCTGTGGGAAACCCACAAAGCACAGGACCAAAGCGTGGGAAAACACTCCCCTCTTGTAGTTTCTAGCAACTAGTATTCAGAAGCATTCCTGCCTTTGACTGGGGTTAGTGGCCACTGATAGTCTTCTCCTCCACAAATTGGTCCAATTCTTTTTAAAGCCATCCAAGCTGGTGGCCTCCTGTGGCAGTGAGTTCCAAAGTTTTAACTATGCACTGCATAAATAGGAAACAAAATAGCTGCACAAGATGATCGAGTCTTTCACTCTCAGCCCCACTGAGTAATTCATCCCTGTGGGTTAAAACAAGAAAAGCTTTAGCTGACTGATCAGATCTAAGCTCACAGTCCTGACATACCTGGTAGCTCTGGGATGGGCTGATCTGGCTCCTCTTTTTCTTCAACATCCGTATTCTCATCTGTGGAGCCGCCGTACGGATCGTCATCTGGCTCCGGGACCACCCTCCGCCCTCCTTGTTGCTTTTTGCGGTGCTCCTCTTCCACTCTAAAGCCATGAGGAAATGGGAGTATGTTGGCACAAAGGACCTGATATCCCCACCCTACAATCAGCGTCACGCTTCTAGTCCTCAAGGACAAAAGTGCACATTGGCTATTACAACTGAAGGCTTAGAAACCAGGGAACATCTGCGCAAAGGACTTCCACTGATGGGGTAGGGCCTCTCCCCTTTACACCACAGCTTCAAGTCCTGTTCCACCAATCTCTAACCATCTTCTCCTATATTTGCTTACCTGCTGGTATCATAGGTACCCAGCCACTATTCCAGCCCCTTGAAAACACAAAATCCTTCTTCCATCCCTGAGTGCACGGCTTACAAAAGAACCATTCACTTGACCAACCTCCTCAGCTCATCGTCGGTGTCACCAGAGCCCTCATCTCCATTGTCTCGAGCACCTGAGGTGGGGAGGGGGGTAGAAAAGGAGAGAGAAAATTAATACAAAGGGCCATTACTATGCCATTACATTTGAATGGGCAGATTAATGCCCACTGCCTGCTCCTTCAAGCTCCTTCGTAGCTGCCAGAGATATGGAGTTTCTTAACAGCATTGCACAAAAACCTGAAAGACAGGTGAGCAAGTGGCAATGGGAAGCAAAGAATCAAGAGGCTTGGTGGCTCAGGAAGGGAACACTCAAAAGGGCTGCTGGGGTCCAGAGAGAAGACCCACAGCTTAGATAGCTCAGTTGGTGCTGCTAATGCCTAGGTTGCGGTTTGATCCCTGGATGGAACAACTAAATGTCCCTGCATTGCCTTGCAGTGTGTTGGGCTCAGTTTGGCAGATATGGGAAGAGACGGCCCTTCAGCTGTCTGGGCCCAAAGTAATGAGGGATTTATATGCTCAAGTCAGCACCTTGAATCGGGCCTGGTATACACAGATAAAAATGGTTTATAAAACTGCCTAGTAACTTGAGCTTCATGTAGTGGAACTGATAAGCAGAAGGTTCAAGATTGCTCCTTTAATCATAATCATTTCATGGATTTCATTACCCAGGGGTGCAAAAAATGCAGGGGGGGGGGGAGGGTGGCCATCACAGTTGTGCCCCATTTGTGAGCTTTCCAAGAGGCACCTCTCTGGCTGCTGGTGGAAATAGGATGCTCAACGGGAAGGACCTTTAGTCTGACCCTGTAAGGTGGTTCTTACAGGAAGATGAAGCAGGAGGGGGAGTCTGAAAGTGAGCTCTCTTGCTCCAACATGCAGGTAGAACCAGGGCTTCTCAGACCTACCTCTAGGATCCTCGTCGCTGCTGGATGCTCCAGAGTCAGCTGCCTGGGCCTGCGAGTTGTTATGGATGCCACTGCTCCGAGAGGTAGTGGGCTCCTCCTCTTCTTCAGAGGATGCCCTCTTCGGTGCCCTGGGTACAGCTTTGGGGCTGGCAAGGGTCTTGGGCTTGTGGTTGGAGCTGGGCACGTCAGCTCTCTGTCAAATAAAAGCAGTGCTCACGTCAGAGCAGTTCTCCCCTTCAATCTCATGAAGGAGAGGATGCCTCTAAAATGGCACCTGCAATCTTATCCTTTATTAAAAAGGTATACAGCACAGAGAATTTTAAATGCATTGCCCAGTTAACCAGGGAACATTGTCTTCTCAGTTAATTTAAAAACCTTTTTGAACAACAGAAACAACTGACCTGCTTCAACTCAAAGTAACCAACACCACACTTTGGGGGGGGGCAAGTTTTATTCTCTAAAGCAGTGCCACAGTTCAGTTTTGTTTCAAAAACCACATAACGTGTCATCCCCCCTCTCCCCAGTATGTTAACACTGGCAGGGACACACACACAAAAAACCCTGCTAAAGGCAAAAAACCGGGAGACTTCTGGGGATATATTTTTTGTCTGATGCAGATAGAAAATTGTAAATGTAAAGTGGCTCAAATATCAGGATACTGTTTACTACCATGCAGGTAATATCCTAGGCAGATGGCAATGTAGTAGGTTTTTTTCTGTGTAAATTACACAATGAGAAGTAAACACAGGGCTTGATTTTACCCCCTTTCATTGGAAGAACCTTATAGGAAGAACCCTACTTTTCAATCAGAATGTGTGTGCAGACATACAGCCCTGATCTATTAGTGCCAGTGGGGTGCTAGCAACTCCTCTCAGGACAAAAGAAGTCTGCCAGAGCTGTGCCTACTCCATATGAACTGAGGTGCTCTATTACCTGCGGATGTGCAAGGGGTTTGTGGTGTCGGGCAGGGGTGTCTTCGTCGCTCTCCTCCTCCTTCTCACTGCTGGAAGATTCTGGGCTTACCATCAGGTAGCTGGCAAAAGGAACACACCCGTTGCAAACCCAGATGTAGCTGAAACCAAACCTCCCATCCCAATGCAGTGGGGAGAGGGAGACTCTCTCGATTTTTTTGGACTCCAAATCCCATCAGCCGCAGCTACCAGTGGATGACAGGAGACTCGAGTTTTACCACCACAGGTTCCCCATCTCTGCAATGCTGCAAGGATCCTTGACAGAGTGGCCCTTTAGGCTCAGCCCCCACCCGCCAACTCACCGCTTGCAGGGAAGGCACCGCTTTGTGCGGTAACAGTCCAGGATCCACTCCTTGCGCACAATCGTGCCCCCGAGCCCTTTCACTTGGCTGTACTTGGGCGTGTTGGCAAAGGCACAGCTGGAAGGGGAGAGAGCACAGCAGGGCACTCAGGGCATAGCAACATGTTTCTCTCTACTAACCAGCGCTAAAAGCAGAAGAGCTGGCAGAAAGCACAACCATTATAAATTGGTCACTTCAAAAGGCAGATCGTTGTGGTGGAAATTGGAATTAGTTCTAATGCACTCAGCTGCAACTTTAACCCTTGAGCAGACCTGCACAGGATCAGGCTGTACATTTACATAGTTCCCTGTTGGTTAGCAGCCCTAGTTTACTGGAGCTACCCTGCAACTGCCTATAGCAGCCAGCATTAACCTGATGCCTGGAGATGTGTTGGACAGCAACTCCCATCACTCCCAGCCATGGCTGTGAGGCCTGGAGGCTGATGGGAGTTGTAGTAAAAAACATATAGGTTACCAGGTTGATGAAGGCTGCTGTCTAGCATCTTTATCATGTGCACAGAAGGTAGAGTAATACTTTTATAAAAAAAAATCTGGGATTAATATTATTGTGCTACTTATTTTAATGGGTCTGTGTTAAAAATCACATGTGCAATGCTGATTTGCAAATTGTTTAGCTTGTTGCTATTGCATTTTTATGGTAAGATCCCTAAGCTTCCTTTTGTAGGCTATATTAAAAAAGGCGACAGCCTGTGAGAATTATAAGCAGCAGCAACAGCAGGGGAACTCTCTAATGCTACCCCATTTCCAAGACCTGGCAAAATCTGATCTTTTTGGGGGAGATGAGGTGCAGGGAAAGAAGCAGTTGCATGTTTTTATGTACTTCTCGTACCAAAGACTTGTTATGTTTCTGGTAAAGCAGCAAGTCGACAAGATATAAACTAATGACTGGTTGAAGCCTTCAGGACTGTACAGTCTTAAAAATCTAGGGGTTGGGGTAGAGAGAAACAAAGTTTTAGAAGTCACAGGGAGATCCAGTGGTTTGCAGGACACCTACATGAGGTGAGTGCTGTCAGGGGTCCAGTCTGGTCGGTACTTTGCACCCATCTCTAGGGCTTTGTCCCGCAGCTCAGAGCGGAATGGATTCTGGAAGCCGCTCAACACGAACACAGTTCCCTGCAGGAGACGCTGGAAAGACACGTTTGCTGTCCCCTCTGAAGACTGAGTTTGCAGAGGCTTTTTGGAAGGTGGCGTCTTTGGGGAAGGTAGTGCTGAAGGAGAGGCTGGTAAAGGGGGAAAAAGAGCAAATCAAAGTCATTTAGGAGGAGGAGGAGGGGATGCACAGATCTGTAGCTATTCTTCCGTACGAATCAATCAAAATGTGATGCTGAACAAGCTGTGTCCTAATCCCTGTGCAAATAGTTGCTGGAAGTGGGTGATTCTGCATGGAATATTGAACTAGGAGCAGCATATGACATCCTGCTATCTCAACATTCTTTTTTTTAAAGAACTAAGTTTCTAATCCTTATGGCTGTGAAAGCATACGGGCAACAGCTTGTATTGCTGGATGTCAAAAAAGCATTTGGGAGGGGGTGGGGAACAAAAAGGGACTTCCAGCAGTTAAGAACTTCAGTCTCTTCCGTAGTATCAAAATCATCTGCAGAGGTCAATGTGCCCTCAAGGTGTGTGGTTGTCAGGGACCAGCCATGTAAAATCTTGAGAGAACTATCTTCCAAAAGCCTGGACAAATAGAAAAATCCTTAACATTTCTCAAGAATGCAGTTAAAAAGGCAGACTATCTGATTTCTGTAGGGAGGGAATTCCATAGCTGGAATGCTACCACTAAGAACGAGCATGGGCATATTAAAGACTCAGGATGCAACCCCATGGACACTTAATAAGAAGCAATATGGAAGGATTTAACTGCTGAGTAAATGTGTTAAGATCTGCACTGCAAAGTTACTTATCAATGCAAGTAACTTACAGTAAACCCACGTTTAGCCCCCAATTTCTCCCAGTGTACGAGAGGACTCCCAAGGCCCATTTTCAAAATGCAGCCCCCGCATACACACCTTTGAGTTTCTTGGAGGCTGGTTGTGGAGGGCGGGGAGTATCGGGGTGGGGTTTATTGGCTGCAGATGAGAGACCAGAATTTTCCTTGCTGAATTCAAACTTCCTCTTGACCGGCGTGGGCTCCTGTGAGCAGAAGGAAACATGCAGTGCAAAACTATGCAGGCCTACTAAAAGGTAAGACGCCCAGAGGCCACAGGGACTTACTCATGGTGTAAGAAGGCAACTTGTGGCTTTCCACATGTTGTTGGGCTCGCAACTCCCATTAACCTCAGGCAGCATGACCAGTGGCCAGGGATGATGAGAGGAGTAGTTTAACAACCATATAGAGAGGAAATGCAGTGGATCACGGGATGGGACAAACCTATAGTAAAGATTTGTATACTTCAGGGGTTGACTTGCTCCTGGTTTGTTTGTTTTTAAACTACATTAGCAAAACAACAAACCTATGGTTATGTGAAACATACCCAATAAACACACAAGACGTAATCGGCTGTACTTTTAAATAAATAAGGTATACTTCATTGTATCAAATAGTAGATTTCAACGGAAGTCTCATAAAGTTCAACGAAAAAAGCAGAAGACCCAGTGGATCAGTTCATTCTCTAGTCTGTTCATGCATAAGGTCCACACGTCTATAAGTGTCTATTCCACCTGTCTGTTCATAGAGTCCAATAATCCACATGAAGGGTTGTTACAGTTCCACTGGGTCTTCTGCTTTTTTCGTTGAACTTTGTGAGACTTCCGTTGAAATCTACTATTTGATACAATGAAGAATACCTTATTTATTTAAAAGTACAGCCAGGAGTAGCTAAGCATTTTCAGACAGATGGCTGCACTGACCCACCCATGGCAAACCATCTGGCAACAGGGCAACGTGTAAAAGTGAGCTTGGCTAATCCTCCATCCAAGCACACATATTGGCGGTCTTAAAATGGGGTCATAAAAAAACTTCTGGCATCACAGAATCACAGCTGGGGACATGCAGGAGATGCTAGTGAAAAGAATATTGATTTTTGATGGATAAATTTGAGGGTACGCAAAAATAAAACAAAAAATCTTTTTGGCATCACAATAAGCAATCTATGGGAGCAGACAGTAATAAGTTTTTAAAACATTATCATTTTTAAAAATGGGGAAAATTGGAATCGTGAAGGAGAATTAAAAAACCCTCTTGGAGGGTCTGTACACAGCTCTTAGCCTTAAGTCTTAGTGTCTCAACTGCTGTGTAGGGGATAATAATAATATCAGTTTTCCTTAAAGCAGGAATGGGGAGCCAGTTGCCCACCTCATGTTCCTGAACTTCAGCTCCCATCATCCAACCATGTTGGCTGAAGCTGAGGGAAGCTGTAGTCTGACAAACATTTGGAGGGTCACATATTCCCCACATCTGCTTTAAAGGATTGCTGTAAAGATTACAATTAGATAATGAACATGAAGCAGTTTGAACACACAAAAGTACTATAGAACTATTAATCAGAGCATAGTTAATTAAAACAATAAAGGAACAACCGGCAGCCCTACTTTAGGCTAACACGCAAGGATAAAGTTTGGCACCCAACCTATTCACCCAGAAATCAGCTTTTAACCTTGGGAGAGGCTTTGGTGGTGGGTTTTTCGGCGGCTGATGGCGAAGGATCGGGGGAACTGGACACGCTGGTTTGCAACGAGGCAGCGGCGTAACTGGGTGAGGGCTGGTTGTTCTGAGAGGCTGCAACAACAGTAATGAATAATCATTCTCAATGTGTTACGAAATGCAGTGCTGATGCTATGAAGTGTGCACGCAGAAGAGCGCATTTGGGTTTTCTGTTTGTTTGTTAAGGAATGCTTTTTCAGGGATGGCACGAGAAACCTTTTGTCGTCACAGCATTACAGTGGGAGCACACAGAGCTTTGCATGTGAATGGCTATGGTTCAACCCAGAGCCAACAGAAAAGCGACCTCTCTGCCCCACTGACACAAACTCCCTTAAGACTCTCCTTGCTAATGGCTATTAGTAAAAATGGGTAAATGGAACCTCCATGTTCGGTGGCAGTATAATAATAATAATAATAATAATAATAATATTGATACCCCACCCATCTCACTGGAAATATGTGTTTATAATAATGTTGACGACGGATGGTATCCTTTAAACTAATGTATGTTTCTGATAAGATTTTTCGTTGAATGTTCTTATTTTTTCTTTCTTTTTTAATTATTGCTATTTTTCTTTTCTTTCTTTAATGTGTTTCAGTATGTGTAGCTTTTATTGTGCAAATAAAGCTTATTAAAAATATTAATTACTATTAGAAATAAATGAATACATTGCTGAATAAAAGAAAAGAAAAAGAAAGGCCACCTCTTGGCCCCACCGACACAAACTTGCTTAAGACTCTCCTTAGTAATGGCTATTAGTAACCATGGGTAAATGGAACCTCCATGTTCGGTTGCAGTATAATAAAATAATAATAATAATAATAATAATAATAATAATAATAATAATAATAATAATAACAACAACAATTAATAATGATAGTATTGATACCCCACCCATCTGGCTGGGTTTCGCCAGCCACTCTGGGCGGCTTACAGCACATAAAAAATTGTAAAACATTAGACATTAAAAACTTCCTAATACAGGGCTGCCTTCAGATGTCTTCTAAAAGTCAGATAGTAGTTTATTTCCTTAACATCTGATGGGAGGGCGTTCCACAGGGTAGGTGCCACTACCGAAAAGACCCTCTGCCTGGTTCCCTGTAACCTCACTTCTCACACTGAGGGAACCACCAGAAGGCCCTCAGCGCTGGACCTGTGTCCAGGCTGAACAATGGGGGTGGAGACGCTTCTTGAGGTAGACTGGGCTGAGGCCGTTTAGGGCTTTCAGATACCATTCAATACGAGATCCCAAGGAGCGATGGTGAGAGTGTGCTGTAGCTTTCATGCCCTTCTTGCGAGCATCTCAAAGGCAGCTGGTTGGCCACTGAGGGAAACAGAAAACTGGATGCAATGGACCCAAGGCTTGATCTAGTAACCCTCATTATTAGCCAGCTGGAAGCAATATACCAAGCATAGGGCCTCTCAGGTCTGTGGCCTTCTCTGGCCTCATAACCTTTCCTTTGCCACCAAGTCATTTCCCCAGACTGCACCCCTCACTGACCCTGAGTGGTTTTGAGCAATTGACCTCTGATAATGTGTACAGTGGTACCTCGGGTTACATACGCTTCAGGTTACATACACTTGAGGTTACACACTCCGCTAACCCAGAAATAGTGCTTCAGGTTAAGAACTTTGCTTCAGGATAAGAACAGAAATCGGGCTCCGGCGGCGCAGCGGCAGCAGGAGGCCCCATTAGCTAAAGTGGTGCTTCAGGTTAAGAACAGTTTCAGGTTAAGTACGGACCTCCGGAACAAATTAAGTACTTAACCCGAGGTACCACTGTATTCCTTATTTGGATGGAGGCTAGAGGAGTGTGTGCAGAAACTAGCCTACTGTACAAAGACAAGACTTATATTCAGGGCCCCATCCTCTTTTGCATCTCTGCCCCCATATGGGCCTCGAACATCTGCCCAGAAGGGAAATGCAGCCCTCGAGTTGGAAATAGTTCCCCACCTATGCTATAGGTACTGTGGCTACCTTTAGGTGGAGAGACGAGGGGTTTGCTGGCACGGCTGAAGAAAAGCGCGCCGGGCTTCAGGGAGTCGTTGTCGTCTTCCTTGACCTTGAACTGCCCCAGCTTGGTGAGCTTCTGAATACACAGAGCAGGAAGGAGAGAGCGAGGGTTTCAAATCAGCCAAGGAATGGCAGCAAAAGAGGGGACAACATTCAGGTCATTGGAGCACTTACTGGCGAAGCGGTTTTGGAATGAACCTCGTCATTTTCTGGAGGAGAGTGGAATCTCACAAAGGAGAGGCCATAAGTCAAGGACTGAGAAGGAAAGCAAGAAACTCAAGTAAAGGAGTCAGGTTTATCAATCCGGCAGTCCTAAGCACTTGTCGGCCCCTCCTCCCAGGCGGCACCTCTCTCTTATCATCATCACACACTCCTCAGAGTCCAAAGGCATCTCAGTCAACAGAACCTGCTTACTGGTATGTTAGGCATACATCAGACTGACACCACCTACCAGGAATTGCTCCCCTTGTAAACAATCACCCTGATAAACAGTTGATACTATATTTTTCATGCCAAGAATATGCACAACTCTGGAGTTTACATGTTCTTTTGCTGGAGGTTAGCCCAAGTAATGCTGTTACACACTTACTTGGAAGTTCCACAACTCATTGGAATTTCAGAGTAAACATAAACAGGAATTTGCTCAAAATAATATCCCTATACAAGAATTTAGTTATTTCCATCCCACGTTAATGTTCTCTGATTTCACCTCATCTTTAGATGGGGAACCCATAGATTAACTACCTAAAGCAGTTAAAAATTTGCATCCTGTTCACCAGATTAGTAGAGATGCTAGCCATCAGCCTTTTCATGCTGCTGTTGCTGTTATGATTTTTGGCATTTGTACAGAACTCCATAACATAAATGTTCTTTGAGCAATTACAATAATCATTTCTATTGCAGAATGCAAAGTACTTTACCCTTTCTCAGTTTCAAACCACTCCTGTAATACTGGCCAGAATGAAACCCATTTCACAGATGGGCAGTGGAGAGAGATAGTAACTAACCCGTGACTGGCTAGCACAGCCTTCACCAACCTGGTATTCTCCAGGCATTTCATACAACAACTCCTGTCAGCTCCAGTCAACATGGCCGTGCTGGTTAGAACTGATGAGGGCATGTTGTAATCCTAAGTAGCTAGAGAGTATCAGGCTAATGAAGGCAAGCCTAGTAAGACTCTTACCGAACCCGAGAAATGAATGCAGGAACTCAGGCCTGACACTGGCCAGCATCCCTTATATCCTGTATCATTTGTACTTCCACACAAACCTTGGTATAGGGCTGGGTACAGATGATTTTCACCCGGTCCCACTTTCTCTCAGCTGTGGCCTTCACAAGCTTATCTGGTCCAAACATACGAACCCTGTTGAGGTTGGTGCCGCTCTTGCTCTCCGAGGGGGACATGAAGGAGGATGTGACCAGCAGCACCTGAGGTGAGAGGGAAAGGACTGGGGTGGAGGTCAGGGTGCACTGCAGGCTTAAAGGGATTGCATTTTAGCCTCTAACTTGACAGATGCCAGCCTAATGGGTTCACAGAGGTAGGAGGTGGTGGTGGGGAACTAGAGAGGAACATTGAGTCATATTTATGGCTTCTGATGAAAACTGCCAAATGCTCCTCTCTACCCACATGCTGCTCCATGTCTCTATGGCACTTTCTTTGACTTGTCTAACATTGTTTGTTTTGCATGTGGCTGCATTCAAGTGGCAGCTAGTCTACGCTGCTGGACTGCCACTCATATGTGACTCTGGTCCCCACTGCCACTATCTCTAGGTTTGGGCTTTCTTTAACTAGGTTTAAGTACCACTTCCAGCTTTTGTGAAATGGACCCCCATTAGTAGACTGCTTCAACCCCACAGACTAGGAAAACAGTAGGGGGGGTGTTCTAAACCAAATGAGACAGCCCAAACAAATTGCAAGGAGGACACAACTCTGATCCTGCAAAGCCCCAAACCACCAGCCTTGTGTTAAAAAACAGCTTGCTTTCAGGTTGGGTGAGGAATGAGGCCCTTCCACAGTCTCTCACACACAGGCACTCGCTCACCTCATAGTTCTGCTCACTGGAGGAGGCAGAGCTGCCAGCCAATACTTCAACAAATGCGGAGCCTTCATTGCCAATGTCAATGCTGTGAATCTGCTCCTCTTTCTCAAACTGTGGGGAGACACGACAGCCTCAGCCAAGGGTTAGGGAACACACAGAAATGTTGACTTTCAGCCCAAGCTTCTAAAGTTTCTGACAAATTGAACACAGTGTCCCATTCATGCATGATTGCCAATATGTATGTATGCATGCACATACACTCACCTCATACCAAATCAAATCTTATATCAGCCTTCCCCAACCCGGTGCCCTTTGGATGTTTTGGGATTGCAACTCCCATTAATTTCAGCCAACAGAGCTGTGCTAGCTAGGGCTGATGGGAGTTGTAGACCAAAGCATCTGGAAGAAACAGGGTTGCGGGGAGGCTGTCTTACACCAGAGAACTGTCTACTCTAACTGGCAGTGACTCTCCAAGCTCTCACACAGAATCCTTCCCTTCCCAGTGCTGGTGCCCAAGATCCTTCTAGGCACAGTGAATAGGGATTGAACTTGGAACCTTCAGCATGAAAACAATATGCCCTACCAAAGGGCTGTGGCTTTCTCACTGAAGGCCTGTCACACTTCCTATTTTTGTTGTGGGAAATATGGCAGTGGGGGTGTCAACCACTGGTGGTCACAATGTACAGCTGCTGGGCTGCATTCAGACTTCCGACTGCAAGTGATCCACCAAGCTATGACATAAAGATGAGATGCTAATCTACTGCCTGGTTTTGGAGTTGCCCTCTCAAGACTGCTTGCATGACTTCCCAAAACAGGGCTTCTTCCCCTTCCCCCCCAAAGGAACAGATGGGTGGCAAAAGCAGCTCAATGGGAAGTGTGGACATGAAGACCTGGCAATCCATTGAGCACACCCAAGCCAACATAGTACCATTTTTGAAGCAATACAACCACAGTAAGCCAAATGCCAACAGCAAACCTAAGTCAAATTGCAACTAAACACATGCATGAAGTTTGTTATTTGCCAATGCTACAAATACTGCCAGTTCCCACAGTACGTTTTCCCCTCTACAGCCACATATAATAATAATAATAATAATAATAATACCACCTTTATTGTCAATGTACAACCTGTGTACAATGAAATTAACTGAGCCTCCTTCCCCACCCCCAAACACTCAGTCTCATTACACTCTGTATGCTTGTTGCACAACACACCAAACCCGAAAGTCAGTTGCACTATATTATTTTCTGTTCAGCAGCCTAACAGCTTATAGATAGAAACTGTTTTTTAGCCTGTTGGTATGACTGATAATACTTCTATATCTCCTGCCCAAGGGTAGAAGATTAAAGAGGTGCTGACCTGGGTGTGAATCATCCCTGAGAATTTTTCTCACTCTCCTAAGGCAACGATCCCTTGCAATGTCATCTAGCGGGCTCAGGGGACAGCCCATGATATCATGTGCTGTGTTCACTACCCTCTGTAAAGACTTTTTGTCCGTGGCTGTCAAGCCAATGTACCACACTGTGATACAATATGAGAGGACACTTTCTATTGTGGACAGGTAGAAGGAGGTCATCAATTGTTGTTTAACATTGTTCTTTCGCAAGACCCTGAGGAAGTGGAGTCTCTGTTGGGCCTTCCTAACCACCTGAGTTATATTGTTTTTCCAAGTGAGGTCTTTACTAAGGTAAACTCGCAGGAATTTAAAGGAAGAGACTCTCTCCACACAACCCCCCTCCCGATATACAATGGGGCTCGTTCCCCTCTCTTCCTCCGAAAGTCCAACACCATCTCCTTTGTCTTGCTAATATTTAGGTACAAGTTATTCTCTAGGCACCATGTAGATACTTTGCCTGCAATCACTTGGAGACACAATAGCACAAATAAGGGTGTATGAACATATTTCCACCAGAAAGCTCCATCACCATGCCAACATCCTGTCCAGCTGTCACTCTCTACAAAATCAAGACAGCTGTTATCTAAGCCTACAACCTGATTCAGTTTAGCTTCCTTCCAAGTAAGGTATTTGCGTAGCAAAGAAAGAACTGCAGCTGTTTAAGTACAAGCCAATCCCAGGTATTTTAGCCCCAAAGAAACTGTATCACACGCTTCTCGCCCCGTTTACACTCCTAACAGTCCTGCAAAGTGCAGGTGGAAGAGTTGAGGCAGATTTCAAATGCTCAGGTTAACAAAAACTCACCTGTAGTATGGCAGAGATGTGCTTCTCCCCAGCCTGTGCGGCCTTCCACTTGCGATAGGTGTCGGCCTTAAGCAGGTTCTCAGCACAGTGCGTCTGGGGCGAGGAGAGAGATGAGATGAGAAGGGTAAAAAAGAAGGGGCAGGAAAGAATCTCTCATCTAGAGCAGGAATGACTTGCCCACGTCATCCGCACTGTGATTTCTTCAGCTGCACACACACTGTACATTTAAAACACAATCCGCTCCTCTCACTCCCAAGAATCCTACAAACTGTATATTTTGCCCCATACAGAGCCACAATTCCCAGTACAAACGACAGTTCCCAGGACCCTTGGATGTCCGTATGTGTGCTTTAAAGTGTATGGCGTGTACACAGCTGTTCTCCCCATCCCCTCCACTGGAACTCTTGTTTGCTTCACAAAGAGCTATAATTCCCAGCACCCTGCACAAGCTACAGTTCCCAGGACTCTTGGGTCTGCGCTTTAAATGTATGGTGTGTTGTCCTCTCTATCACTCCCCACCCTATCACTTCACCCTACATATGGCCTCACTCAAAAATCTCCTCTGGTCTCCTATCCCTTAATTTATCACCCACCTCTCCCCCCCTCCAGAATGGGCTCTTCCAGGCTCCACCAATCAAAACCCAACTCCCCCCGACCACCCCCATCCTAGTTATGAGTGGTTGCGCCCAACCGCCGAGGGGAAATAACGGAACCTCCCTCCCGTCCCTCGGCCACGGAGCGTCCTCTTTAGAAAGGCGGCTTCGCCCTCACCGGGTCGGAGCTGCTGGCAGACACCACATGTCGGATTGCGATCTCCGGCATCTCCCCGCCACTTTCTGTCACCACCGTGACCCGGTAGCAAAACTCCCTCGGCCGGCCGGAAGTGCTGGATCCCGAGGACGCTCAGCTCTATGGTATGTTCTCGCCCGCCGGCCGCGCATAGACTCCTCCCACCTGGACGAGTCCGCCAGGAGCTTTTGCGCAGGCGCCTAAGGGCAAGGCCGCGTTGGCTCGGAGGCACGAGCGCCCCCTGCCGTCGTTTCTGTTCTTTTTTATGTTCAAGTCAGGTTTTGCTTCCCGACGCGCTCCTGTAAGCGCATGCGCTCTCGCTCGCTCTCAGAGCGTGTTTTAAACTGGCGGGAAATTTCTTATTAATTGCAAGCAAGCAAGCAATAAATAAATAAATAAATACCAAGAGCAACCCTGCGAAATAAACGATATAACATGCAGTTCCTAATGTATTCAGCACTTATTTAGATGTATTAATTCAGTTGTTACTGCTACATGCTTAGAAAGTTAAGGAGATAGCAATCTGCTTTAACTTTAAAGTGTTGTAGATTTTTCTCATTCCTCCCCTGCTTTTTTCCTTTTTTGTTTTGCAAACTGTGCTGTCGCTACAGTCAAGCAGCGTGCAAATTTTATGAAATGAGAAAAAAATAAAAAACTTCCTATTTGAAATGTGTTTAATTAATTATTAACACCATTGTTAAAACCATTGTCTTAAAAAAGAAAAAGGAGGTGACAGGAACTGGCTTCATGATGTGTGAAAGCAAAGCCATTGCTTCCTACTGCTTCCTCTTTGACGTTTTACGATTAATCCGAGCCTTCAGAAGCGAGTAGAGCTGCTTTTCCATGGATAGAAGGGCAAGCACTTTTGCCAACTCATGACCCAGGGGGCATTGAGGCAGGTGGACTCAGGGGGGAAGATGTGTGGGGCACCATGTTGGAGACCCCTGCCCCAACTGAATACACTTGAGGTCTGCTACCTAGTACTGTACAGTGAGGCGAGCGGGCAGTGCTGGATTTATGTATAAGCTAAACAAGCTATAGCTTAGGGCCCCACTCTCTTGGGGGCCCCAAAAAAATTTAAAGCAAAAACAGAACAAAACAAAACTGGATGTACATTTCCAAAATTGTATTTCAGTTCAACAATTACTTTGATAAAATACATATTTTGTTATGTGCAAATGGCTTTAGATACCTATTAGGTCCATCAATTACCATATATCATATATTCAATGCAAAAAACAGCAACAATTTGTTGTTGACAAAGGACAGCTGGACATATAAAGGGCCCCATTACCTTCAGTAGCTTAGGGCCTCATCAAACCTAAATCCGGCCCTGGGAGCGGGTGGCGCTGTGGTCTAAACCACTGAGCCTCCTGGTCTTGCAGCGGTTTGAATCCCCACAATGGAGTGAGCTCCCATTGCTCTGTCCCAGCTCCCGCCAACCTAGCAGTTCGAAAGCATACCAGTGCAAGATGAGCACCGCACCCCATAGTCAGTTTTAACTGGACTTAACCATCCAGGGGTCTTTTACCTTTACACATTCAGTATTGCCTAAATGGGCAGCTGGATGTCAGAGTAGATGATCCAGTAGCATGAAAGCATTTTTTTGGGGTGGGGTGGGTGGGGTGGCAGGTACTTTGTCCAGGTACCAGATGGATCAGACCTAAGAAACCCCACTGTTTGTCTCCTGCCCCAAACGCGCGTGCCAGCAGAAACAACTCTATCAGCCCTCAATCTGAGCTTGTTTCTCTTGACTCATCCACTTCTACTGTTACCTGATTCCTTTTGGAACAAGCTTCAGCTCAATTCCTCCCTCAGAGTCTCTGCCCAAGCACTCGGCCCCTTTCAGAATCTGGCAACAGGCTTTCCTCCTGGAAATAGCATCCCATTGTGTGCCTCTTTGGAGCCATTACCTCCCTCCAAGATTCATTTACGAACATAAATGCTGAGCCATCCTTCTGAAACCCGATGCCCTCCAGAAATTTTGGACTACAGATCCCTTCAGCTCCAGAAATGCAGGCTCAAAAACTGGGGAAGGCTGTAATAAGCACTCTCGTTCAAATAATTTCATAAAAGAAACAGTCGCTTCCAGAGCAGGTGCTCAGATGTAAAGGAGGTCGGGAGACTTGTAGACAAATTCCCCCAACATGGTTGCTCATGCTTCATTTGTGAGCAGGTCCGAAAAATTGAGTCTAGTGGAAATACAACCCTCAATGATTTTTTTTTTTTTTTTTGAATGCACTTGCTCAACCTAGCTGCCATGGGAAGAGGTGAAAACAACCAGAAAAGCAGACTAGAAAAATGAACGCAAATAAAACCCAAATAAAATCTGAGGTAAAAAGGTTGAAACTTAGAACGCCAGACAAAATTAAAAACGGAACAACTAAGCCTGGACTCAAGGGAAAGTGTGGATGAGCCCCAAGAGATGGGAAGGTAAATGAGCATTTATTTGTGCAGCGCGCAAATAGATAAAAGCACGACTAAATGGATACAATTGCCAAATTAAATAAAAACACAACTGAGGGCAACAATCTTTCTGCATCCTCAGCTGCTAATATGTATACAGCCTTATTTGCCAATTGTAGCCTTATTTGCCAATTGGAATCTCTTAAGGGGGATGGATTTGAAGTAGGGGCCTTTCGTTTCTGATCCCACTGCCAGTCTGGATTGGGTTTGAGGGTCCCTTACCCAGCAAAATGCTCTCTGGTGGGCCCCCATCTACATTCATGTCTGCCGCAGCAGGTTTATGGCTCCACAGTTTGAGATAGGCAGCTGCAAGCAAACCACCATGGCAATTACAGTGGTACCTCGGGTTAAGAACTTAATTCGTTCTGGAGGTCCGTTCTTAACTTGAAACTGTTCTTAACCTGAGGTACCATTTTGGCTAATGGGGCCTCCCGCTGCCACCCTGCCACCGCCGCACAATTTCTGTTCTCATCCTGAAGCAAAGTTCTTAACCCGAGGTATTATTTCTGGGTTAACAGAGTCTGTAACCTGAAGCGTCTGTAACCTGAGGTACCACTGTATCCACTAAATGCCTCTGCTGTAGTGTTGCCCCAGGGCATTGTGGGCGATTTAAATGTCGGACCTGCTCACAGACGTAGCTGACTAGAGTCGGCAGTGGGCCCAGTTGAAGGGTGTTGTGTGCTGATTCCATCATGGCCCCATTTTCAGTAAGGCGCTTCCTAACCTCAAGTATTTGGGGTCTCCTTCAAGGATTTTTACATCAAGGTCATGTTAATACTTGACTGACATCCGTCTCTGAAAAAGAAAAACACCCAATCTTGTTTGAAAAAACTCCTCCTTCTCTTGGGGACAGCCAACACTAATGGATCACCTTCATTATTCTTCTTTTTAAAAAAGTGACCCTGGACCATTGAACCACTGAAATTGCAAGCAAGTAACTGGAATCCCTCCAATCTCAGTGCCTAACAATTGGTTCTGTATTCTTTTACTTGAGTGTGCATATTTTTTGTTCCTGAGCAGTCTCGAGGTCAATCAACATTTCAAGGTTTTATCATCAGGGATGGGGACTCTGTGATGCCTGCTGGACTGCAACTTCCATCATTCTTGACCATTGGCTAAACCACTGGCTGGGGCTGATGGGAGTGGGAGCCCAGCAACATGCCAAGGGTCCATCCTTGTTTTACATCAACGGCAAGGAACCTACTGTATTTTTCACTCCATAAGATGCACCTGACCATGAGATGCACCTTGTTTTTAGAGGAGGAAAGCAAGAAAAAAGCTCTCTGTCCCAATCTGACAGGTAGAAAGATCCCCCTCCGTGCTGGCTCCTGGCTGCTCTCATGCAAGTCACAGAGCACCTCGGACGAAGGGAACTCTAAAAAGTGTTCTAAGGCCCTCTTCCCCCGCCTCGCCTTTCCCCACCACCTCGTGTGGGCGGGGGACGTTTGCATGGGCGCTGCCATTAGGACACTCGCACAGGCCACACCCTGCCACTCTGGGAACCAAAGTCCCCAGCTCCGCCGCTACCCGGGACCACATATTCACTCCATAAGACGCACAGACATTTCCCCTTACTTTTTAGGAGGAAAAAAGTGTGTCTTATGGAACGAAAAATACAGTATGTTTGCAAGCTCCACTAGGCACTTGGCTGGCCTCTGTGAGTACAGGATGCTATAACAGATAGGCTGTTTTGGTTTGATCCAGTAGGGCTCTTGCATACTGTAACCTGACCTGAATCCATGGGATAAGGATTCTGTGAGACAGAAATTAAAATAAGCCAATTACAGAGTTGACTTTTGCTTGTGAGGAAGCTTTCTTGTGAATGGAACTCAGCACTGAAACCATGACTCAACATCCTGGGGGTGGGGTGGGGGTAGGAGAAACAACCCAACAACAATAACAACAAAGTTATTTATTTACATTTTTTATTGTGTATGTATGTGTCTATCTATCATCTATCTATCATCTATCTATCTATCTATCTATCTATCTATCTCTATCTATCATCTATCTATCTATCTATCTATCTATCTATCTATCTATCATCTATCACCATTGTTACCAAGGCACCCAAGATAGTTCACAAGTTTAAAACACTAATGCAAGTACTTTATATAAAACAAAGATTGACAGAGCCCTCTTATGCCAACTGGGAGCTGATGGTATGTGTGCTGCCCTGCTGGGGTGAAAAGCAGAGCTGAGCCAAAATTTCTCAGAAGTGATGTTACTGAGGGAAATCAGAATTTTCTCTTTTCTTCACCCTTTTTCTCAAATCTCGGGCGGTAGAGCATGAAACTCTTACTCTCAGGGTTGTGGGATCAAGCGCCATGTTTGGAAAAAGATTCCCGCATTCCAGGAGGTTGCACTAGATGACCCTTGTGGTCCCAGTTCTACAAATCCATGATTCTATGAACAATCTCTCTCTCTCTCATGGCCCAGGGAAAGGGTGGAGAATCTTGGGAGAGGTCCTTTCCCCTTTACAGCTCTTTCTGTAGGCAGAGAATATTCCTTGTGATGAAGGGCTGTAGCTCAGCAGGAAAGCATCTTCTTCGCATGCAGAAGTTCCAATTTTAATCCCCAGCGTCTCCACATGGAGCTGAAGGAGACACCATTCCTGAAACCCTGGTAAACAGCTGCCAGTTTGTGTAGACAGTACTGAGCCAGATGGACCTGGGCATCTTTCCTAATCAAAGGGCTGTGTCACTGCTCCAAAAACTGGAGTGAAAGCTCAGCTCACTGGGACTCAATCCCAGCAGTGTTAGAAGACCCTTTCTATTGAAAAGAAAAAGGAGTGCAATGTGCTTTTAGATAGGGAAGCATTCCTCTTTCCATCAACTCTCTTTGTATCCCACAAGTTGAAACTCAAAGCTTCCAACTTCATTGCCAGGAGTGGGAAAGGTCAGGGTGAAATGAAGGTGGCTGTGTGCTCCCTTGGCTAAGGGAGAGCAAGCGAGACCCAGCTGGCTCACAAAAGGACTTCTTGAGGCAGTCAATAGACAAAGAGGATCAGCTGTCAAGGGAGCTTGGGGGCTGCCCAAGGATTTTAAGTGCCTCTCATCAAAAGCAACAAGCCCGACGCCAAGCTTATATTTACCCGTTCACCCCCTTATGTAACTGCTGCGGCTTATATACTTCCACTTGGACTCTTCATTGATAGAGGCAACAGCTCGGCAGATATCTTGCATCCCATCACGATGAAGACTCTGGTCAACCTTGGCCTCCTCCTGGCTTCTCTCCTGGGTAAAGGTGAGTCCATGTCACGGGGGAAATGCTGTTCCCTGACCTGCCTATTTGGTGTAATAATAATAGTAATAATAATTAATTTGTACCCTGCCCACCTGACTGGGTTGCCCCAGCCACTCTGGGAGGCTAGAATTAAGTACAGTGGAACCTCGGAAGCCAAAGGCCTGTAAACTCAAATGTTTCAGCTCCTGAATGATCGAAAACCGGAAGTGATTGTTCTGGTTTTCAAATGATTTTCGGAAGCCGAACGTCTGGCGTGGCTTCCACGGCTTCCGATTGGCTGCAGGATGGTCCTGCAGCCAATTGGAAGCTGTGCCTTGGAAGTCGAATGTTTTGGAAGTTGAACGGACTTCTGGAATGGATTCCGTTTGACTTCCAAATGCCACACTTTTGATTTCAATGGCCCCTGAGCCCAGCTATCTCAGTCTGGAGGACCTCACCCAGTGCATCCCCTGCGGATGCAAATATTCTGTTGAGTGTCCTCATTTCTAATTAGCTAGCTTCATTTATACAAGCTTGTCTCCTTCCGCTTCCTCTGCTCCTTTCTGCAGGCTCCTGCCTAATCTGTGAGACCTGCATCAGCCCTGGTGAAGGCTGCATTGGCCTGGCTCATCCCTGCAGAATGAATGAAGACACCTGCCTAACCATCGTGGGAATGAACTCTTTGGGTGAGTGATGCAAAGTGGGACACGCAAGTCCCGCCTTGGCCCAGTAGAAGGAGAAAGGGGGTCTCTGATTCCTGCAGATTTTAGGCTTCAAGGAACATCAGTTTCCTTTTCCTGTGTGCTATCCATAAATCTTCCTTTAAGCTTTCAAGCTTGCAGGCATATCTCTTTCGGAAGTCTGCAAGGAGGATGTGAGGATAACAGTGATCTGCTGTTGTTCCCCACAGACTTAAGGCAACACCTGCACCTTCACTGCATTCTTTTCAGCACTTGCTGAAGTTTTAGACAAGCCTACCCAGATGTTTAAAAACTTTATATGAGTTTTAATTGGTTTTAGTCTATTCTGTTGTGGTTTAAATTTCTTGTATGCTGTGTTTTTTTTAGTCGTTTCATTGTTTTATCTTTTTTTGTAAACTGCTTTCAAGTTTCCTTCCCCCTACAGTCAAGCAGTATATAATTTTTATGAAAGAAATAAAATATTCATTTAAAGCAGTATCATAATGCTTTTAACAGGCATGGCTTCCCCCAAAGAATCCTGGGAGCTGTAGTTTATTAAGGGTTCTGAGATCTCTTAGGAGAACCCCTATTCCCTTCACAGAGCTGCAGTTACCAGTGTTCCTTGGGATGGGAAAACCATACAATTACAGAATTGTAGAGTTGGAAGGGACCACGAGGACCATCTAGTCTAACCCCCTTGCAATGCAGGAATCTTTTGCCCAAGCTGGGGCTCAAACCCACGACGCTGAGATTAAGAGTCTCATGCTGTACCAACTGAGCTATTGATGGTTAAAGCTGAATTGTAGCTTTGTGAAGGGAATAGCGGTCTCTCCTAACAATTCTCAGCACCCTTAGTGCAGATGGGGTCTAATATTCAGTGGCATGATCCTCCTGATTGCTCCCACCAAGGTCCTCTGAGGCAAGAGGGCACAGCAGAGCAACTGGAACATACACATGTTGTGATGGGCGCAAGCTTTTCTTGCTGATATTTTTTGCAGATGTTCTCAAATCCTCAGCCTTTGTGCAAAAAAGAGAGGAAAATCTACCATGAACCAGCTCTCTTAATGGCTGTTTTTCATTTTCCAGGTGGTGATGATACCACAGAGACCCTCAAGACCTGCATTGCTGCTGAAGATTGCTATTCTGGTTCCATCAGTGTCACCACCAATGCTGGGCTCCACCTTCAAAGCATCTCTAGCTGCTGCCAGGATGACCTCTGCAACCGTTGGGAACTGACCTGTATGGAACTCTCTGCTTCTCTCCTCTAAGCGGTTTTGCCTTGACCCGTGCTTTCTAGGCATGAGTCCCAGCAGCTTTCCCCTTGTCCCATTCCTTTCTCAGGGAAAGCCTGCTCTTTCACTTTAAATTGGAGCAAACAACAATCTGGTGAATACCCAAACTGCTGTTTGCTCCAGTTCAGCACTAAAGAGTCATTTTACGACTTCTTTGTGGAACATCCTCCCATTAGACATCAGATGTCAAGGAAATAAAGTACTACACAACTTTTAGAAGGCATCTAAAGGCTGAGGAAACCCAGCCAGATGGATGGGGGTATAAATTGTTGTTGTTATTTACATACCCCGGACATACCCCGGGGGTAAGCAGCCTTCACAGTACCTCATTTCCAAACCCTGCATAGGCCAAAGACCTCTGGTGTCTTGCACTGCTCAAAGATTGAGGTGGCATGAAACAATATGTTGTGCCTCACAGTTTGGGAGCGACTGGGCTTTACATGGGTTTTTCTCCACAGTGCCACCTACAAACCTCACCTCCAATGGATTGCAGTGTCCAGCTTGTTCCGTCTTTGGTTCCAGCCACTGCAAGGCGACTGAGATGCTGAATTGCACCGGAACAGACAATCGCTGCATCATGGTATCTGGGACACTGAATGCCGGTATGAGTAAAAAAGCATATACTGTAGTACTCTGTCAATTGATTTCAGTCACATAATGCACAATAAGAAGCAACAGACACTAAAACTATGATTTCCCACAGAGTGGCCAGCCCTATTTGCCAGGTGGTAAAAATAAATAAAAATAGAAGACCCCACACCCCCAGCCCTGGAGGTAGTCCTAGCGCTACCTAGAGATTGAGTCTGGGGCCTTCTGCATGTGAAGAAGTTGTGCATCTGCCACTGACCCTTCCCCGTCAAGCTTTGTGTTGCTAACCAACCTCATCCTCTGCCCGCAGGTGGTCTTCCCTCTACGTTCACAGCAAGAGGATGTAGCACAGAGACGGCTTGCTCATTGCCCCTGGGGACGGCCCTTTACTCAGCAGGAGTGATCTTCAACCTTGACAAGGTGTCATGCAGCCCGGCCCCGAAAGCCACAGAAAGCCACTAAGGGGGAAGAAGGTGGTTCAGGAACAACAAGCCCTGTGAAACACCCAAGGTGGCATCCAAGCCATTCATCTCAAGCCCTCTTAGGCCAATTTAAGAGTCCCTGCTTCCCCCAGGGAATCCTGGGAACTGTCATTTGTTGAGGATCTCCTAACAACTCCCAGCACCCTTAACAGCTCCCAGGATTCTTTGAGGCAAGCCATGACTCTTTTTTTTTTAAAAAAAAAATTTATTGAAAAATATTAACGACATAAATTATCAGTCAACATAACCAATTACATTTCCCCCCTTTTTATTCCCTCCCCTCTCTCCATCTCCCACCCCCCAGAGACTTTCCTCAGCTCCCCTCTCTGATTTGTTTATACATATTTTTCTCTGCATATTATAGAATTGTACATATCATTACCTTATCCATCATATGTTCTACTAATAAATTTTTGGATGTTTATTCAAAGCCTGCCAAGGAGTTCAAATCGTTTTGTTGTCTTTTTAAATAGTTTGTAAAAATCCCCATTCTTCCCTGAAGTCACTGTTGTCCTTCTCACATAGTTTATATGTCAACTTTGTCAATTCCGCATAGCTCATCGGTTTTTCTTGCCACTGTTCTTTCGTTGGGATTTCCTCATTCTTCCATCTTTGTGCTAACAGGCCGCTGTTGTAGCATACATAAACAGGTTCTTTCTTTTTCTTGTCAGATCTCGTCCTAAAATCCCTAACAAAAATGCTTCTGGTTTTTTTTTACAAATGTCATTTTAAACATGAGAGCCATGACTCTGAAAGTTGTATGAAAGTGTTTGAAAGGTATGACATGGATATGATCCGAAGATTCTATTGCCCTATTGACTTCCACCACAGTTGGAGGCAGCAATGTTCTGAATACCAGTAACTGGATGCCACAGGAGAGGGCTCTTGTGTTCAAATCCTCCCACAGGCATCTAGTTGGTCACTGTGAGAAATGGATTTTGGACTAGATGGACGACTGGCCTGATCCAACAGGCTCTTCTTATGTTCTTATGCTTCTCTTCCTCTCACTGTGTTTGGGGCATGATTCCCCCCCCCCCATATCCTTCTGCGTTGTCCTTCAATAAACTGGCATGGAAAGTAGCAAAAATAACACACATCATTTTTACCTCCGCCTCTCAAGGCCTGGCTGGGGCCAGGGGAGACTGGGTTTTGACCTGGTCCAGGAAGCTGAAATCTAAAGATATCTCTGTAAATTTTCTTGTGTTGACTGGAGAAAAGCAGTCACATACCAGTAATAAAAAGTGAGAGCTGGAGTGCGGGGAGGCAAGGAAAGAGGAAGAAAATTTCTTAGGTTTTAGGCCAGTTCTTCTATCAAAGCAAGGGTGAAAGAAAACAGAGCCACCCTTTGCTTTCCTTGTTATTTTAAAAATGTCTTAATCATTTTAAAAATAAATAATAATAATAATAATAATAATAATAATAATACCAATTTTACTGTTTATACCCCACCCATCTGGGTGGGTTTCCCCAGCCACTCTGGGCGGCTTCCAGGACATATAAAAACATCAAACATTAAAAACTTCCCAATACAGCGCTGCCTTCAGATGTCTTCTAAAAGTTGTGTAGCTCTTTATCTCCCAGACATCTGATGGGAGGGTATTCCAAAGGGAGGGTGCCACGCTGTTTATAGAGGTTCTTAAGGTTTATAGAGAAAAAATGCAAAGCTCAATATCTTTTCTCTTTTTAAAAAACAAAACACAAAAGGGGGAGGAGATAGAAATAGAAAAAGGAAATGAAATAAATAATAAAGAGTAAAAAATTGGTTAAAAGAGAAAGATAGAAAAAAAATACGATTAAGAAAATAAAGAACTTCCCTTTCTTCATCTGTCCACTATATAAAAAACAATATTAATTTTGCCCAGTCCTGTGTATAACACTCAACAAAACCACTTTCTATTAACAAATATTATTTCCAATCCTCAAATCCAGATATCATTATTTCCTTTTCCGGCAAAAGGTCTATAGGAGGTTTCCAATCTATAACAAATGTTAACAATGACATTTGTCTGATTAAACATGTAAAAAAATTGTCTTAATCCTGATGGACAGATCTGTCAATTTCAGTTTCTCTCAGTTTATCATTTTTTCCAACACTCAATTCTTCATGTTTACACTTCAGTTTGTGTTCTTTTTTAAAAAAACACACACGCCCAAATGAAAATACATCAGCATTTTAGTACAAAGTTCTAATATACAGTGGTACCTCGGGTTATATACGCTTCCAGTTACAGACACTTCAGTTTACAGACTCCGCTAACCCAGAAATAGTACCTCAGGTTAAGAACTTTGCTTCAGGATGAGAACAGAAAGCGTGGAGACTTCCGGGGTCAGCGCCAGCGGCTAATGGCGGAGCTCCTCTAAGCGGAGGAACTGGCTCCGTGAAAACTGGGTCGCCCGCCACGGCTAAGGTGGGGATCCGCTAGAAATCTCAGGTGGAGGAAGCCTGGGAATGTGGGGGTTCGGCAGGGCACCTGGAGCGCCCCCTACTTGCGGGGAATCCCATTTAATGGCTCCGGAGCGAGTGGGGTGAGTGGCGCGGTACAGTGAACTGACTGCTACTTTCACGGAGTGAAGCCGCACAGCCATTGCCGGGGAGCGCTGACTTTTTCCTGTGGACATTCGGATCTAAAGTAATTACCTGTGAGTAAAGTGAAGAAATTGGATCTTTAAAAAGTTGAATTCGGCTACGAACGGGGGAGGCGCAAAACAGGAAGTCCGCCTTCCTCTTTTTGTAAATAGTTGGAAGCAAAGAGGTTTGAAAGACTGAAAGACTGCTTTTGACTTCTAAATCTCCAGTATAAAAATAGCGAACCCCCCCTTGGTTGCAGGGGAAAAGGGGGAGGACTTTTAGACATTATCTGCCTGCAGAAAAAGAGGGTAAAGTTAACTTTTCACCACTCGGAACCTGGGAACGGCAGCCATTAAAATCGCTGCATTGTGGAGCTCCGCATTGACTGTGAATAGACTACTTGACTGTCAGTGAGTGAAACATTGTTTCCACTATTTTCTCTTGGCTTAAAAGTTTCAACTATGTTTCTGAACTAAAGTTAAGGCTTGATACTAATTATATTGGCATAACTTGCTATTGTAATTTAAAAGAGAAAAACAAAAAGAAAAAGGATACTTTGGACTAATACAAGATAAACAATAACTATTTCCCTCTAGAGGAGGATTTTGAAACTGCTACAAGGAGTGGAATTTTCCAGTTTTAAAGATAAAACCCTGGGACTGTACCTGACCTTGAGGGCCTTGAGTGTTATGGCAGATGGGAAAGAAAAAATAGATTCATTACAAGAAAAGACAACAAGGTCTGGGAGGACTTTTCGGAGAGCTTCTACATCTGGCCCTCCTGCTTCCTCTGCAGCTGTGTCAATGTATACTAAACCAAAAGGAGGAATGCCCTCGGAAGAAGATTGGGCTCTTGTTTTAAGTAAAATTAACAACTCTTTGGAACAAATGAATAAAAAATTGGACCAAAATTCACAAAAATTGGACCAAAATACACAAAGCATAAAAAGCTTGGAACAAAAGGTCAACTCTAATACAGAAGCTATAGAGACATTAGTTAAGGAGTCTAATTCAACTAGACAGACTGCAGAGGAAGCCAAGGAAAAGATTGTTACTGTTGAAGCGAAGGTAGCACAATTGGAAATAGAGGTCCCAGATGTGTGGAAACAAGTACAAGATCAGAAGCAGATGCTTTCTATGTTTGAGCTCAAGGAGAAACAGACAAATTTGAGAATTTGGGGAGTACCTGAACTAGAAAAGACTCTTTGATAGACTTTCTTACAGAGGAATTTGCAGCCTATTGGAACCGGCACTTACAAAAAGAGGAGTTTAAAATTGTGAGAGCCTTTAGACTTGGAAGAGGAGGGAAGAAGGAGAAGAACAGAATAAGAGATTGTCTGATTACACTTCGATCTAAAGAAGAGAGGGATAAAATCTTGAGTTGGCATTATGAGGAGGCCTTGACAATACACCAATTTAGAGTGGAGATATTTAAAGATATCCCTAAATATCTTTTAGATTTGAGATTTAATTTCAGAGATTTGGTTGAACTGTTGAGAAGGAACAAAATCAACTTTCGGTGGGAATTTCCTCAAGGCCTATCCTTTAGCTTTAAAGGAAGAAAAATAAAGATAAGATCAGTAGAGGATAAAACAAAGTTCCTGTATAACCACGAAGAAGACCTACAGAAGGGAATTGGAAAAGAGCCAACAACACCGGGAAGAGGGTCACCAGACAGAGGACTGGAGCAAAGACTACGGGAGAGAGCATCAACAAAAAAAGATACCTTGGATACCTTGGACATTTCAGCATTGTCTTTTGGACTGGACCCCCCTGATAAGGAGCCAACGCTACCACCAACAGAAGAGGAGCAAGATCTGGGGGCAGTTGGAGGAGCATCAAAGTAGCCACAGGATGGCGATGCAGGCCTTGAGCTGGAATGTGAATGGCCTCAACACTTCGGAAAAAAGGCGACGAGTGTTTCATTTATTGAAAAAAGAGCAATTGGACTTGATTTGTCTACAAGAAACGCATGTGACAAGGTTACACAGGAAATTATTGAGCAATAAAAAATTAGGCCAAGAATTCATCTCATCGGACAAAGTTAAAAAAAGAGGAGTGGTTCTTTATGCAAAGGAGAACCTATCACCTAAATTTATCTTTAAAGATGAACAAGGAAGACTTGTAGCAATTGAAATCCAACCACAAGGAGATAAATTTTTGGTGATAGGTATCTATGCACCAAATGAAGGGAAATCGGAATTCTTTTAAAAGCTACATGAAATTTTGATGGACTATTTGGATTATAATATGATTTTGATGGGAGACATGAATGGTGTTGTATCTACAAACATGGATAAGGCGCAAAGACAAATAATCACTAAGGATGGAAGACTACCAAAAAAATTTGACATGACTGAAAATATGGATTTAATTGACATTTGGAGAATGAAGAATCCTCTGGGAAGAGAGGGAACTTTCTTCTCCAAGGCCAAAATGACATGGACAAGAATCGACCAAATCTGGGTAACTAGAGGACTGGCTCCAAAGATTAGTAAGGTTGAAATTTGCCCCAAGACCAGCTCTGATCATAATGCTGTGAAGATGGAAATGAAATTAATGCCAACTGGTTCCTTCAGATGGAGGATGAATGACTCTTTGTTTAGGAATGATGAATTTATTAAAAAGGCCCAAAAAACTTTGAAAGATTATTTTGAGATAAATATGAACACTACAGTGGAAAAAAGAGTAATCTGGGATGCAAGTAAAGCCGTAATGAGAGGTTTCTTGATACAACAGAATGCAATTAAGAAGAGAATGCAAAATGAGAAAAAAGATAAAATTTTGGAAAAAATAAAGGAAGGAGAGAAGAAACTGAGGGCGAAACCAAAGTCTCAGGAAATTTTAAAAGAAATAAAGCTATACCAAGTACAATATATGAAAATGATGAATCAGGAAATAGAATGGAAGATTAAGCAGATGAGACAAAAGACATTTGAATCGGCAAATTAGTGTGGGAAATTGCTGGCTTGGCAATTGAAAAAAGACAAAAACTAAATACTATTACGAATCTGGAAGTGGAAGGAAAGAATATACAGAATCCAGTTGAAATTAGAAAGTGCTTCCAGAGGTACTTCAAACAATTATATACACAAGAAAAGCAGAATGAAATGGACATTGATAAATTCCGGAAATAAATGGATTACAAAAAGTTTCCCAAGAAAATAAATTAATGCTCGATTACAAAATAACGGATCAGGAAGTAGAAGGGGCCATTCAGAATATGCAATTAGGTAAATCTCCAGGACCGGATGGACTGACTTCTAGATACTACAGAACTTTGAAAGAATGGTTAATACAACCATTAAAGGAAGTCTGTAATGAAATATTGGAAGGGAAAAGGGCACCTGAGTCGTGGAAAGAAGCATACATTACACTTATACCAAAATCAGAGTCTGAAAAGACGCAACTTAAAAACTACCGTCCCATATCACTGCTTAACGTGGATTATAAAATTTTTGCAGATATTTTGGCTAAAAGATTAAAAAAGGTGCTAGCAGAAGAAATACATAAAGACCAAGCGGGCTTTCTCCCGGGCAGACATTTGTCTGATAATACGAGGAATATAATTAATATTCTAGAAAAGCTACAAGTGAAGATTAATACTAAAGCAGTTCTGATTTTTGTGGATGCGGAGAAAGCCTTTGACAATATTTCTTGGAGTTTTATGAAGAAGAATTTATCGGGGATGGGGGTTGGTAAAGGTTTTGGAAATGGTATAGGTGCAATTTACTCAGAACAAAAGGCTAAATTAATTGTGAATAATGTAGTGACGGAAGAATTTAAGATTGAGAAAGGAACACGACAAGGTTGCCCAATCTCTCCATTGCTTTTTATTTCGGTCCTGGAGGTTCTGTTAAATATGATTAGAAGGGACCAATTGGTTAAAGGTATACAAGTGGGAGCTAAACAGTACAAACTGAAAGCATTTGCAGATGATTTAGTATTGACTTTACAGGAGCCAGAATCAAGTACGAAAAGAGTATTAGAATTGATTCAAGAATTTGGTCAGGTAGCAGGTTTTAAGTTGAATAAGACGAAAACTAAAGTTTTGGAGAAAAATCTAAATGAGATTGAGAAAGAGAAGTTTCAGAAGGAGACAGGTCTGACATTGGTTAAGAAAGTGAAATATTTAGGGGTTAATATGACTGCTAAGAATGTGAATTTATTTAAGGATAATTATGAAAAATGTTGGATTGAAGTGAAAAAAGACCTAGAAATATGGTCAAATTTGAAGCTATCGTTGCTAGGCCGAATTGCTGTGATAAAAATGAATGTATTGCCAAGAATGTTGTTTTTGTTTCAAACACTGCAAATTTTGGACAAAATGGACTGTTTCAAGAAGTGGCAGAGAGATATCTCCAGATTTGTCTGGCAGGGCAAGAAGCCTCATATAAAATTTAAGATATTAACTGATGCTAAAGAAAGAGGTGGATTTGCCCTGCCAGACTTAAAACTTTATTATGAATCAGCCGCTTTTTGTTGGCTGAGAGAATGGATGCTTCTTGAAAACACGGATGTTTTGGATTTGGAAGGTTTCAATAATGTATTTGGTTGGCATGCATATTTGTGGTATGATAAGGTCAAAGCACACAAAGCGTTTAAAAACCATATTGTAAGAAAAGCACTGTTTAATGTCTGGATAAGATATAAGGATTTGTTAGAAAATAAAACCCCAAGATGGCTGTCACCAATGGAAGCAAAGGCCCAGAAAAAACTCAATATGGAGGCCAAATGGCCGAAGTATTGGGAAATTTTGGAACAAGAGGGTGACAGATTAAAATTACAGAGCTTTGAAAAATTAAAAAACAGAGTACGAGATTGGCTCCATTATTATCAAATAATGGAGGCATATAATTTGGATAAAAAACTAGGTTTTCAGGTGGAAAAATCAAAGCTGGAAACAGAATTGTTAGACCCTAAAGTTAAGAATTTGTCAAGAATGTATAACTTGCTGTTGAAATGGAATACTCAAGATGAAACGGTGAAATCTGCTATGATTAATTGGGCACAAGATGTTGGACATAATATTATGATGGCTGACTGGGAACAGTTATGGACCACTGGCATGAAGTTTACGGCATGTAATGCCTTAAAAGAGAATTTAATGAAAATGATTTACAGGTGGTACATAACACCAGTCAAGCTTGCAAAAATTTATCATTTGCCCGATAATAAATGTTGGAAATGTAATGAAACTGAAGGTACATTCTTTCACCTTTGGTGGACGTGCCCAAAGATTAAGGCATTCTGGGAGATGATCTATAATGAAATGAAAAAGGTATTTAAATATACCTTTCTAAAGAAACCAGAGGCCTTTCTCCTGGGCATGGTAGGCCAATTGGTACCAAAGAAGGATAGAGGTTTTTTCATGTATGCCACAACAGCAGCAAGAATACTTATCGCAAAGCACTGGAAGACACAAGATCTACCTACCAGGGAAGAATGGCAGATGAAGCTGATGGATTACATGGAACTGGCGGAAATGACTGGCAGAATCCGAGACCA